GTCTCCTGCTCAGTGTTTGTGTGTGTGTGTGTGTGTGTGTGTGTGTGTAGTTCTGTGTGTGTGTGTGCTTGTCCATTCCCCTTTCCTGTTTATATATTAGTGCATTGGTGTGTGTGTGTTAGTCCTTCCCGCAGCCTTTAGGTTTAGTTTTGGTGTCTTAGAGTTCCTTAGGGTTATTTGGCCCTCCTCTGTTTCTGTTTGCCCATTTTGATTATTAGGTTCACCTGTCTTCCCTCCAGCTCTCACTTCACACACCTGCTGCCATTTTCCCTAATCACTTCTCCCTGTGTATATAAGCTCTGTCTGGTCTGTGTCTGGTGTCGGTTCATTGTTGTATGTTGTCTGCGTTGCTCGTGCTCTGTATGAACTTTGTCTCCAGGTTTTTGTGCTCTAAGAAGAGCTTTGGGTGTTCCTGTTCTCCAGGATGTTTTGGACTTTGGCTCACTGCCTCAAATTACTTTTGTTCTTCGTCCTAAAATAAAAGGATTTTACTTTGAACCACCTTCTGCCTCTTGTCATCCTGGGTTCTGCGTTTTGGGTCCAAACCATCCGCAAATCGTGACAGATAGGTGTCCCAGAAGGCTTATATCTGAAGACAGTGACCACGAAGAAGGACAGATCTCCAGTGAACCAGGATATGAACGTTTGTTCAGTCTTTATTTTCAATTTTTTTATTTGAACAACCCTCAACTATTTGCTAATTGTAAGATTCAGCATCATTCCAGCATTACTTATCTTTTTACAATAAATAATTATTTTTGCTAAAACAAAAGTTTTTGGTATAGCAGTGCACGTGTGCCAGAGAAGCACCCCATGGCGGCGTGAGGTGTGCAGCACTCTGCCTGCAGCTGGAGAGAAACTGCTTCAAGGTCTACCACATCAAATAAAAACGTCTGAAAGTTTACAAAAATAAATGGTCTTAAAAACTGCTACAAGACACCAAGGTTCAAACTTTTTTAAGAATAGATGCATTTCAGTTCAAAGTTTAAATTGTTTGCCCAGTAATTTTGAAGTTCCTGTTCAGTATTAAATGTAAAAAATTCAAATCCGTTTTTTGCTTTTTTCACTTTCAAGCTGATTTTTTAAAGGCTGTAATAGAAATACATTCTAAATAGAAGAAGAAAATATCATTTCTATAGCGCCTAAAGATAAAAATCAGGAGGCGCTTCACAAACAAAAAAAATATATAAAAAAGCATTTAGAAAATGTTTAAAAATATATTTAAAATGAGCAAAAATAGGCAATTGGGATTTAAAAGAAAAAATGTTAAGATAGAGAGAGAGTGGACAGGAAAGAGGGAAATCAGTGGATCCTGAGGAAGGTGGAATAGGTGGGGAGAGCAGAATAAAGAGAGAGAGGTGAAGAAGGTCATACAAAAGCCAGCTTGAACAAGTGAGTCTTCAGCTGCTTTTTAAAGGAGACCACTGAGTCCACTGATCTCAGGCTCAGGGGGAGAGAGGTCCAGAGTCTGGGGGCCACAGCTGCAAATGATCTGTCACCTTTGACCTTTGGCCTGGTGCTGCACAACCAGTAGGCTTTGATCACTGGACCTCAGGGACCTGCTGGGGGTGTAGGGACTGAGAAGATCACCAATGTAAGATGGTGCTTGTCCATGTAAGGCCCTATAGACCAGAACCAGGATCTTGAAATGAACCCTGAAGTTGACTGGCAGCCAGTGAAGCTGGAGGAGAAGTGGCTTCACGTTTCTTTTCGTGAAATGTTATAGTGGTTTGGAAATACAAACCATACGCTGAAAGCTGAGGTTGTTCTGAAAAAAGGAGAAGAGTTACACACACTTTGCACTTTTTATTACAATTTTACAGCCATAAGATTAAAAAATACCAGGCGGCCCTGTTATAATTATGGTCATAAGAGGGTTATTAAGACGTTTGTGCGATGCACAAACAGGAAGTGATTGGTAGTCATTCCACTCCAATCCACTTGGTGGCGGTAATGCACCAAACTGTTGTTTGCCAAGTGCCATAAGACCACAAATAATAAGAAGAGAGGCGGGAGCGTTCGTAACAAACTCAAAGCGATAGTCAAAACATGAAGCATGAAATGGAGTTATCCTAGTGGCTCCAGTAAGAGAAAGAAGCAGCATGCTTCATAAAAACTTTTATCTTCACTTCTGAAAGTGACGTCGTTTTTCGATGTAAACATCAAAAGGAAGCAGAAAGGAAAGATTATGGAAAATGTTTAAAGGGAGGAAAACAGACCAAAATGGAAAATAGAAAAAAAATAACTAAGGCTAAAGCACAGGAGCACTGACAGAAAAAAGAAAGCAGAGCAAATAATGAAAGCACTCAAAGGGAGGGAAATACAGGAAAAAAAGAGGAGGACTAATAAAAAGGGAAAATAACTCATGTCAGAAGAGGGGAGAGTTTTGCAAATCCAGTTAAAGGTCAGATTGTCGAAAATTTAGTGTAAGGGGACCCATGTCTGTGTTTGCCTTGGGCCCCCAAATTGCTAAATCCGCCACTGGGAACCGTTGCGGTCAGGTGTAACTTGCAACAGATTTTATCCAGCTTGTCGAGGTTCTTTAGCTGAAGAGGAAGTCCGGATAGCCTGTCCGAGACTTCTCTAGAACACTTTGAACTAAAGAAAAGGTGGCGTGGAATAGTTTTTATAATTGTCATATTTTGGTTTACTGGCGAATCAGAATTTGACATGCAAAAGAGGGTTTATACAAACACCACAGAAAACCACGCCTCGCGTCAGAAACGAAGGTTCTGATTGGATCAGACAAAAGGAAATGTGTTGTGTGACTTTAGCATTACGTGTCATTAGTGTCTAGTGCAAAAGTCCAAGATTATAATTACTTGTAAAATACTACTGATCACAGGATTATAATATCAAGTAATAACATTGTCATTTCACAGATTGATTGAACATTAGGCTCACATTATTATTGGTAATAACAAAGTTGTTGATTATGTGTTTATCAAAAGAGTTCTTCATCTTCGTCTTGAGCCGTAACAGAGGTGAAGCAGTTCAGATGAGCAGACTACTGTCATGACTCCAGGGAGATGTTTAACCCAAGACATGTAGAATCAACACGACTTCAATGGGTGAGTAAAGAATTTATTTTAAACAGGAACAAAAAGCGCACTGGTAAGTCCAGTGAGGGTGTGCCGTTCAGATTTAGTCCATATAATTGTCCAAGATGTGCGGAAAAGGTGGGTAGCCAAGGTGAGTGTAGGTGGTGGCTCAGCAGGCTGAGGCGAGTGAGGCAGCGGAGATTAAACGGGCAGGCGTTGAAGAGGAGGATGGGACGTGGTTCTGGAAGTCCGGGGTTCGAGCGGCAAGAGTAGCGGGAAGAGTGGAGTATCCTGAACAGAATAAACAAACAGTCTTCAGAGGAAAATCCAAAAAGCGTAATCCAGAAAAACAGTCCAAGGTTCAGAGCCAAAAAATCCAATATCTGATTCTAGCAAGCAAACGAGCAAACAAAGCCGGGGCTACCTAACAGGTGCATTCATCCGGCTTATTGTGGCGTCTCCATCCTCCCTTTATACCCGACCTCCAGATTGGAGATTCGGTGCACCTGCAGCTCCCTCCGCTCCTCACCTGTGGAAAATTGCCTCAGAGATGGTTAGTGTGGAGAGAGTGCTCACCTCAGCTCAGGAACAGGACAAGTACATGAAAGACCTTGGCCTAGCTCATGTAGATTAGGCCTGTGTCAGAGACATTATGTCTCCACTCGAGCAGATGCAGCAGATCATGACCTTTAGGTCAAGAACAGGACATTCATGATGCTACTAGAGGAATTTCAAATTTGCTATTGCATCTTTAATTTGGCTTTGATCTGTGCCTTTAATTTGAATTACAATCCAGTACTAAATGATATTCGTAAATATTTCAGAAGTAATTCAAGAGAGAAACCAGAAAAACAACAATCAGATTTTCAACAAATATTTTGTAGAATAACTCTGAAACGAATGAGCTTATAAATAAAAGATGTTAAACTTCGGAACTCCCTCAGCAAGGAACTAAAAACAACTACAACGAAAGAAAATATTAACTAATTCCAAACATAACAAATGAACAACTCACGTGATGCAAATGTGACTCGTAGCAGGATTACTTATCTAACCTCGACTAATCACACTACTTTACAGTATAAAAGTTACATCTCTAGATTCATGTTTATGTTGGTTGTAAATATTATTTATAAAATGCTTTCTACAATTATGCCTATCCTTGATTTTTAACATTTAAAAAAATGGTTTTTCATTCAATTACTACTTTATTTCATTGTTATAAATGTTTAATTTTCATGCCTTATCTTTATTCTACATTTTATTTCATTTTTATATTTTATTAATATTATTCTTGTGACTACTATTTTTTTCTTTCTCCTTTTTATTCCTTTGTATTTAATTTTATTTTTATTCTATTTTTTATTTTTTATCCATATACATGACATATCTGGAAATAAAAGAAAATGTGCACGGTTACAGTTAATTTTTCAATAAATAAAGTTTTGCCCTCAACTTCATCCCCGTTTTTCACTTCGGCCCAGTCTGAGGAAGACACTCCTGGTTTAAAATAGTTCCGTATTGAAAAGAAAAGGTGTTTTCTAGAATAATTATTTGCGGTTTGACAATGACGCGTAGCTGTGGATGAGTTAAAAGTGACAGTGGGCGGAAGGTGTCTGCATTTTATTGGATAAAGCTAACCGAATTTAGTGTAGAACATGAAATGTAGGAATATATTTTCCTTTCAAATAAGATGTGCGACATAGTGTCCTGTATCAAACTAGCAATATACAGAATGTGTGACCTTAAAATGCATTGTAAACAAGATAAACACTGATTCAAAGACAGCATGTATAAAAATACATACTTTTAAAACTTAAAAGCGCACTTTAACATCAGATGGAAGTCTGTAAATATTCGGCGTCGGGCATTTATTTTGAAAGGCACAGGAAGTTCTCTGCTCTGACTTCTTGCTGCGCGCGCGCGCTGCGCTGCTCAGCAGCTGCACGTTCTCACGTCCAGTGTTTGACACACAAGCGTTTGACTGAGCGAGCAGAGCGTGTGCAGCGGTAATGGCTGCGAGGGAGAGTGAGGAAGACAACAAACGAACCTCCGAGAAGCGACTTTAAAGGTGAGCCTGGGAAGGTGACAGCGTTTGAAGAAACCACGCGTGTCTCTTTTTTAATTCCGCCATTGGGTTTTGTGTGGGGTGCGTTCTTGGCAGCCTTCTGCTGCAGGTGTTTTGTGTTTTGGGGCTGGTAGCACACACACGGGGGACAATAAACTGTCACTACCTTGCGGTTTTCACGCATGCCTCGCGTGCCCAGCTATTATCCTCATCTCCAGAGCAGTGAACTTTTTCTGGTTATAATCTCATAATCGCTCTAATCCCGACATTAATTCCCGCACCAACAGGAGGGTGTTGGATTCTTTGTTAGCTGGTGTTATCATGATTAGCTAACGTTAGCTGACAGTGACCAGGCCACTAGCTGCTAGCCTAGCCAATCAGGTTACCAGGTGACTGATTAACCTGTCTGTCTGCCTGCTGCCTGTCTGTCTGTCAGGAGAGCAGCTGTTTGTCACGAGAAACATTTATCATAAATCTCAACGGTGTCTAGTTTATTATCATTGTTAGTAGTTTTAAATGAGACATTTAATAATTAGGGTTTTAGCTATCCAAGGACAGGCAGATGTCAGCCTTCTGCTTCCTAAATGTGGCACATTTTTCATTTTTCCTTCAAGCACAAATCTTTGAACAACTAAGGGGACTCACTTCAGGTGTTTTTGCATTAGAATAAATTCAAAATGAGAAAAAGTTTAATATAAATGCATTACCTGTTTTAGGATGTCTGATATGGTTTAATTACCTTAATCATATGTTCTTATACAATCATTTGATTTAGTCTTGGTGTGTTTTTTAATCTGTTTTTTCGGAAAAATGGTGTAAAGTTCCCTGTCGGGAAGCTAATTCATGACCACAGTGTTTAGTTGGTTTAAATCAGTTTCCCCAGCTTTGTACAGTTTTAGGTCACATGCACATGTAGCTGGGTTTCTGTACAGCCAAATACTATTCACTGTCCATCTGGGAAGAAAGTCTTGAGTCCACACAAGTTGTTTTCAGCAAAATAATCCAGTGCATTGTGAAGGACAAGAGCAAGCCGAGCCTGTAGATGGCAGCAACTCTGCAAATCTTCAGTCTGCTGAAAACAGTTTCTTGGAATAACTAGGTGGTGGGCAACACCTGTCCTTAATGTGTGTACCAAAATCCTAACAGGAACGTGGTAAACGCAGAATGGTTTATTCGTGGTGTACGTGTAGAGTACACACGCTTCAGCAGCTGCTAGCTAGATGGAAATGGTGCTGTTGAACAAGGAGATGTGTCACCTTATTGAGATTAATATTTTCAACTCTGACAAATGAAAACACCAAGAATTCAAATAGTTAATTAAGCATAAACTCTGAACACAGAGCATTCTTCCTGTGTTTTTCTAATGGCTCTGTAGCCCTGCACATACTGAAGTAATGTGGATTTTTACTCTTTGTAACCAAAAACAGGAATTGTAAGTTAACTGGTGACTCAAAATAGTCTGAAACCATGTGCCTGTACTTGTGTTTGTAAACTGTATCTGATCGCAGGGTGTCAGGGCCACCCTACGGCAGCATTGATGTTCACCTCTCAGCTGAGCTGTTGGTAAAGGTTCAATGGCTTACGTTACAGTGCTGAGGTGAAGAGTGCGTCACATGTGTTGTTGCGCTCATCAGTGTTAGCTCCAGAGTTCCCATTTCCTTTGCCAGGTCGAAGGACACACAGCTGAGGGATTTCACAAAGATGTTTCATTCTGCAAGGCCAGGTCTCCGTAGAAATACGCTTATCTGTGCAAGTTACTGACGAGTCACGGTGGCACCAGCACATCATGCGTTGTTTCTTTAACAGAACAAACGAGAAAAGGTGCCACCTAGAGATGTCTCTGGACTAAATATGAAACCCAGTTCAGAGAGGTACCCAGAGGTTGTTCAACAAGGTAAACCTGAACTCATTAATACTCACCAGTCCTTGTACCTAATTTGAAATAAGTGTGTGTGTAAGTGGGTGAATATGGCCATGAAGGGTGTTCCTGTCTCTATAGCCCTTTTCAGAAGATGCACCTTGCCGGCAAATCAGCATTATACTGCCACCACGGTGCGTCTCCTGAACTCCTGAACATGGCATTGCTGGAATTGTGCGGCATTCGTGTCGCCATGCTTGGTAGTATTGCAGCAACACCGGACTTTCCTATTACGACTTGGTGCAACGGGGAGGTGTAATGATCACATGGTGAGTTTATGTTTATGTGTTTAGCAGACGCTTTTGTCCAAAGCGACTTACAAGTAATTATCAGCATGTTGCCCTTGAGGCTAACAATAACAAGAACATTGACATCAATCATGGATGAGGAGGGAACAAGGAGTGGACAGTAGAGAGGGGGGACGGGTGCAGGGAGGGTGCTAGTTTAGAAGATGCTCTCTGAAGAGCAGGGTCTTCAGGAGTTTCTAGAAAATTGAAAAGGAAACCGCAGTTCTGGTAGTGCTTGGTAGGTCTTTCCACATTTGTGGAACAATGCATGAGAAGCATGAGAAGCCAAGCTCCGGCTGGCAGCTACATTGAAAATGAAAGTAAACACAGGCAATACATTTCACTTTTGTTAACAGAATCTGCTGAGATGATAATCTGGAGTGCTGCAGAGCTCCAGAAGCGTCTCTCTGAGCTGGAGGTCAGATCGCCAGAGACTGCACGGGGACTGTGGAGGACAGACACTTTTGGGAGCGGCTTGATTAAAAAAAACTTGGGGAGCACGGCTTTGATCTCAACAAAAAGCAAGTTATGTCCAACAGAACAGAAGTTCGCGGCAGCGCAAAGACCGACCCCAGACCCCCTTTATACTGCCATCGCTTAATCTTATGTATAAAGGAAATGATTGCTCCACATTACCGCCACGGTCGGACTACTTACAAACCAAAGGCTCCCTGATGATGGACGGTTGACTTGTCCAGAGTGCTGTGCTACAAAGCATTACTGCTTAACAATCATGTAGAGCACGGATGGGCAATCCTGGTCCTTGAGGGCCGCAGTAATAATAATAATAATACATTTTATTTCAAAGCGCCTTTCAGGACACCCAAGGTCACTTTACAGAAAACACGTAATAAAATACAATAAAACAATAATAAAACCCAAACAAGAAAAAACAAAGAGAGAAACAGTTCAAGAAAATCTGAGGTTGTAGGCAGATTTAAACATGTGTGTTTTGAGTTTTGATTGGAAAAGGGTAAAACTGTCGATGTTCCTGATGTCTGGGGGAAGTGAGTTCCAGAGACGGGGAGCAGAGCGGCTGAAAGCTCTGCTCCCCATGGTAGCGAGACGGGCAGAAGGAACCGCAAGATGGATGGAAGAAGATGATCTGAGTGAACGGGATGGGGTGTGAATACTTATAAGGTCTGAGATATATGGAGGAGAGAGGTTGTGGATAGCTTTGAAGGTATGGAGGAGAATTTTGAAGATGGACCTGAATTTAACTGGGAGCCAGTGAAGCTGCTGGAGAACCAGGGTGATGTGGTGAAAGGAAGGGGTTCTGGTGATAATACGGGCTGCTGAATTCTGGACCATTTGCAGTTTATGAAGGAGTTTGTTGGGAAGACCATAAAGAAGTGAATTGCAATAGTCGATACGGGAGGTGACGAGGCTGTGGACGAGAATGGCGGCAGTGTGAGGGGTCAGTGAGGGACGGAGACGGTTAATGGAACGTAGATGGAAGTATGCTGACCGAATTAAGTTATTAATGTGAGCTTGAAAAGAAAGTGAGCTGTCAAGAATGACACTGTAGCGTTATGAAGTTAAACCAAGCGTCCGACCTTGGCGATGGTACTGTGTGAAGGGGCAGCTGTTAAGGGCAGACCATTATAAACTTCATAACGCTACAACACCCAGACTCTTGACGTGAGGGGAGGGGAGGGGGAGACTATGGCGCTGTCAATAGTTAAAGAAAAGCTGTCAGATGTTGAGAGGGTGGAGTTAGTGCCAACTAGAAGAAGTTCAGTTTTATTGCCGTTGAGTTTGAGGAAATTAGAGGTGAACCATGATTTGATTTCAGAGAGGCAGAGTGTAAGGGAGGATGGTGGGAGAGTTGAGTTGGGCTTACTGGAAATGTAGAGCTGGGTGTCATCCGCAAAGCAGTGAAACTGGATATTGAATTTGCGGAAGATTTTGCCGATAGGGAGGAGGTATACTATGAAGAGGAGGGGCCCCAGGACAGAGCCCTGGGGCACACCTGACTTGACTGGGGAGGGTTCTGAGGTAAAGGATTTTAACTGGATGAACTGAGTGCGGCCAGTAAGGTAAGATTGAAACCAGCTGAGGGGGGTGTGAGTGATGCCTAAGGAAGAGAGTCTATTGAGGAGGATGGGATGAGAAATGGTGTCAAAGGCCGCACTCGGATCGAGGAGAATGAGGATAGAGATTAAACCAGAATCAGCAGCAATGAGTAGGTCGTTAGTGATCTTGATGAGAGCTGTTTCTGTGCTGTGGTGGGGACGGAAACCAGACTGAAACTGTTCATAAAGGTTATTGCGGGTGAGATGGGAATGGAGCTGAGATGCAACAGTTTTCTCTAGGACTTTGGAAATGAAGGGAAGATGGGAAATGGGACGCAGGTTATTGAAATCATTGGGATCTAAACCAGGTTTTTTTAGAATAGGGCTGACTGAAGCAGATTTGAATAGGGATGGGACCGTACCAGAGGATAGTGAGGAATGAATAATGGCTGTTATAAAAGGGAGCAGAGAAGAAAGGCAGGATTTAACAAACTGTTGGAATAGGGTCCAGTTGCAGTACAGCAGGTTTTAGTTGTTTCTCTTCTTAAACACACCTGGTTTGAATCTGCTGCTGTTTAACAGGCTGCTGCAGAGCCTGATGAGCTGCTGAACATGTGATTTATCCAGAAACCTGTGTGTTGGAGCAGAAACACAACTAAAACATGCTGGATAGCGGCCCTCCATTACCAGGATTGTCCACTCCTGATATAGAGGTAAAAGTCAAAGTTTTCTATATCTAGTGTGGCTAGATCACCATGGTAACAGACTAACTCATAACATGCTTGCTCATCATATAATGTAGGTTTAGTCAACAGCAGCTTATTTACACCGTGCGTGTGGCAGCAGTTGTCCTCCTTTGAGTTCGCAGCTCTGGAGGTTAATGGGTGACGGTGTCTAAACACAGCAGTTCTGCTGCTGCTTGGACTCTTTACTGCTAAAACCAAATTAAGTAGCCATTTTACTTACCACTTGACTTAAATGGTGAAACCCAGCCAGCTGTCTGCATGTTTAAAGAGCTGTTTTGTTTCACAGCTCTTTAAATAAACAACTGAATTACCAACAATCTCACTACTTCATGCATCTGTCAATATTTTTTAATTAACTTGCAAAAATCTTTAGTTTACCTCCTGTATTATTTAGTTTTCACAGTGAAAGGGGAATTAAAGTAAAACTAAAAACACTGGAAATAAGCAAAAGTAAAGCTTTAAAATGGCTGTGAGAAACGAGAATGAGCCCCCCCCCCCCCCCCCCCCCCCCACCCCCCCCCGGTGGCTACAAAATCCCCTCCCACCAAAAATATGATCTTTTACTTAAGATTTGGGTACAACATGTCAGTGTTGCATAAGGCTGGGAACCTCACGGCACCTTACGATAAGATTAGCGGTACATGTCTCACGATACGATAACATCTCAGTTCTGTGGCACAGCTGCTGAAGCACTAAACATGGTTTTCCCTAACTGGGTTCTGTCACATTGATGAAGGCGAGCTTAAGCTTGCATGCATCCTCGGTCGGTGACACGATCTGAACGAGCTTGAAGAGTTGTTACATTAACTGGTAAATAGTAAAAATATAATTCCAGGGTAAGGTTGGACAATCGGACATGTGATTATGGAATAGTTCTCCAGATGGGACCTTAAATGCCTCCAGGCATTTTTTATATGTCCATCAAGGATACAACTAGGGATGTGTATTTTTGAAATTCTGGCGATACGATACGTATCACGATACAGGGGAAATGATACGATATATCACGATATATTGCGATACATTCAGTCAGACGTTACAAGCAATTTTTTTACTGAATTTATTGTAAGAATGTTCAATAAACAGTCCAAACTGATACGTAACATGTTTAACATGAGGTATCTGAACCATGATGGAGGGATTTACATTTCAGTGGTAGAAACAAAACCCGCTGCTCACTGCTGCCAACAAGCGGGCGGCGATTGAATTGCGCTAAACGAAAAGAAAATACACAAATGTTTGCATGTAAATTCTTTCAGGATTTAGATACACGGCTTTTGAATATCGATATAATATTGCTGGGAAAAGTATCACGATATATAGCCATATCGATATTTTCTTACATCCCTAGATACAACCATTACTGTAGACAAGTAGACACGTTTGTCCAACCACTTGGAATATTAAAATAATATCTAACTCGCCTAGGGCTGCAACAACGCATCGATAAATTCGATGAAAATCGATTACTAAAAGCGTTGGCAACGAATTGCGTCATCGATTCGTTGTGTCGCACAACTCTTCCAAAAGCGCCCCCCCGCCCACCGTTGCGCGCAGACCAGAGCAAGTCAGATCAGCGCGAGGGAGAGCCGCAGATCAGCGCGAGGGAGAGCCGCAGATCAGCGCGAGAGAGAGCCGGTACCGGCAGATCAGCGCGAGGGAGAGCCTGCAGACTTGCGCTGCTGCGAACCGGTTCCGCAATGTTGCGCAGCGATCCAGGCAGCTGCTTCCAGCGCACGGTCCATTCTCAAAGTGGCAAAACCAAAAAACTATAATTAGCACACGATCGTTCTTGTCTGCACATGTTCTCTATTTTCTGTCTTATTTGTGCCTGAAGCGCGCTACTGCGGAGCTCATCACCTGTGCTGTGGTGATGTCACCTCACGCAGCATCGAAAACGCGCTCTGCGCTTTGCGGTCAGGAGATCTCTTTGATCTGCTCAAAAGTAACTGATGAGGTGAAAAGGTAAGAATCCAGGCAACAGATTTTCTGGAGAATTAAGAGGAGATGCAGGAAGATGAGAGACAGACAGGACAGGAAAATAGTTAAATAAAAACAAGAAAAAGTAAAATGTAAGTAGATTTATCTCCACTACACGTTTTTTACCTGTATAAAACAATAAGTTATACACATGTCATATTTATACATCTGATACAATTCAGATCACCTTCAAAACTCAGTCACACCCAGGGCCGTTTCAAGACATTTTGGGGGCCAAGGCAAAATGCCCCCCCCCCCCCCAATAACTGGGTTCCCCAGAAGCCTCTGTGTAATTCATGCCCTCTCGAGGAGTATTACTTATACTGTGTTTATAAAAGCCCCTCAGACATTACTGACATGTTCTAATATTATCAGATGAAAAACTAAATTATCAGACATGCTGTCTCATCTGCTTCTTTTCTAAACTTGCAAAAAGTAACAAAACAATTTGAAAGCCACTATTTGTGGATTCTCTGAAAGTTTCCATGGAGTTTGTGACAACTTATTTTTTCATTGATCCTATCGTCTAATCTCACAGCTGAAACAAGCATCCTTAATAATCTGTAAACAGGAAGCTTACCGATGCTGTAGTAAAACAAAAGGTATAATAATTTATTATTAATAAAACCTTGTTGCAGCACTAAAGCATAAAAATGAGATTTTGCATTAAATATGCAAAATATTTAGATATTAACTGTTTTAGAGCCCTTTAATTGGCAGAATCTGATATTAATTTAGTTCTTACAAAAAATGGGTCCCAACATGGTTTGTGTGGCGTTGCCATAGTGTGACGTCATAGGCACAGATCCCCTGTCCTCTTGTTTGGAAATGGAAATATGGTCACCCTACATTAAACAACCTGTCCACCCGGGCTTTTGCGCTGCAGAGACGCTTCGCTGCCTATGACTTTGAATGTTAGTTGAGAGTCAGTCTCATGCAGACTGACCAATGAAGAGAGGGCCTCAAGTTAAGACCCTCTCCTCATTGGTCAGTCCACACGAGGTGGGTCAAAGGTTACTCTGGGCGGGTTACGTGTTGTCAGGCATTCAAGTATTGAGTATATTTACTGCATATTACAGTAAAATATTCTGTATGTGACCATATTATGGTGATCCTTGGGTCATGATGATGGAGCCCTTGAATATTGTTGCCCAGGGTACAACAAAGTGTTAATCTGGCCCTGGTTCCGCCGTCACATTCCCGCAGAAACTGGTTGATCACACCGGGGCCAGACTACTAGCATGTGGTTTTACAACCACAATGTCCTCAGAAGCAAAAACGCTTTTAAAAGGGAGGGAGGAGTCCTAACTGTTGCTGCAGGCGTGTTGTGTGAGAGTGCAGTTATATACTGGTTAATATATTTTTGGGTTCAGTTGCTTTCATGTGGCCTAATGTGAGTCTATTTGGGATCATTGGAGTGATCAGCAGCATTTCTTGATGTGACTTTATCGCAAGGAGGATGGCATTCATTTACTTTTGTTTTATTTGGTATTTTTTCAGTCATTTTTGGAAATAGTGATCAATTTTGATTAATTCACAGCCTATGTTTAATTACATTTAAAATAAATGTCAACAGATGAGATCAAACAAAACAGATGAGAATTGCCCTTAAGCTGTTTAACTTGGACCAAGCATTTTAGGTCACAGGTAGATGTAGCTTAGGGTCTCTGTCTATACACCTTATAAGACAATTTAGGTGATGGCATGTTGTTTTTCTGCTATTGAACTGTTTTCTAATAATGTTGTGTTAAATAAAGTGAAGGAAGGAGAGAAATAACGTTTCCCTAGCAGTTTTTAAAAATTTCCCCATGTAATCCGATTAATCGATTAATCGTGTCGAGACCCCATCCGATTAATCGATTATCCAAATAATTGTTTGTTGCAGCCCTAAACTCGCCTTTCAAAGCCTCATCATTGCCAGAGCGGATCAACCTTGAACAAAAGCGTCCGCAAGGGTCCAATAAAAGTTCGACAATAAAATTGTCCACCAGAAGTCTTGCATCTAATCCAAGAAAAGACACTGCTGGAAACTTTAAAAACGACTTTAAGATGTGTCCTTTTCTTACACAAACTTCATTAGCATCCTCATTTTAGCTTCCAACTTTAAAAATATTAACATATCATCCAACCTTAGTTTAGGGCCACATGGGTGCTGCATTTGGTTGGTTATTCAAATAAGGAAGCAAATAAAAGTAAAGCCAGTCATCTTGGCTTCAATGAGCATCAAGAGGCCTGTGTTGGGGGAGCGTTGATCATGAAAAATCAGATATTTTTTGTTGTGAAATGTCTCTGATAATACAAAGCCTAAAATATTCTGAGTTCACATGTCCAGATGACTGCAGGCACTGGCTTTAGTCGGTGGGTTCAGAGTGGAGCTATTTGGTGGTGGTCAGTGACTTTCATTCTAGTAGCATCCCTCAAGCAGTGGTGAGATTTGATCAAGTTAAAGAGTTAATATACCCACCCAAAAGTAGTTTTTCCATTGTTGTTGACTTGCTAAGTCAACCTGTCAGATGAAGTTAACCACTTGTTTCTCCACAGTGAGGACTAGGATGGTAAGCAGCCAGCCGAAATACGAGCTAATCCAGGAGGTGGGGCGCGGCAGTTACGGCGTGGTCTATGAAGCAGTGGTGAAGCGTACACGGGCCCGGGTGGCGGTGAAGAAGATCCGCTGCCACTCTCCAGAGAATGTGGAACTTGCCCTGAGAGAGTTCTGGGCCTTGAGCAGCATCCAGAGCCAGCACCCAAACGTCATCCACCTGGAGGAGTGCATCCTACAGCGAGATCACCTGGCCCAGAGGATGAACCACGGCTCCAGCTCCCCGCTCTATCTCGAGGTGAGGATGCAGAATTCACTTCAACAGCTAATCTTGAGGATCGACTGTGAACCCTTTGTTGTAGGGTGTTGGTTGACATTCTATTTCAGCTCTAGGCTAAATCTTTTGGGATTACAGCTGTGGACAGAAGTTTAGAGAATGACTAAAGTGTTGATTTAGGCGACAGCTGCTGGTTGGTTTTAAACCTGTCTGTCAGATGTCTCTATGGTTAACTGGTTATAAGCAGTTCCTCAGCTCCAAAGGCTTGACAGTGACAGGAGGTTTGTACAGAGTGAACTGTGTTCATTCTTCTTTAGCTAGACAAACCAACCCAACTGAATTTACTCATGACCACAGTTTATAGAACACGTGTTTCTGCATTTACTCCACAGTGCAAACAAATAAAACCAAAAGCAGTGGATGGTTTTTTATTGGTCAGTTTTATATTATTTAATGTATGTTAGGGTTCGTTCTTGTGAATGTTTTCTAACTTCCTTTTGTCCCTTTAGCGGGCCTGCTTCTTGTAACGTTGCACCTGCGTTTAACTATCTAGCTAGCTAGCTGCGCGTTAGTGTGCAGCTGAAGGACTGGCTGAGGTTCAGGAAGCAAAAGTAGTTTGCTGGTTTCTGATGTTTTATACTGGTATGAAAGTGGATCTGACTGGGTGGACTGCACCTTTTAACAGTCGCTGCTTCACCTGAACAGAAACAGCTTTGTTTGATTCACAGACCAGTTTTCTTTGGCATTTACTGTAATATAAATATCCTTTATAATTACCTGTCCAGGTAAGAGTGGCAGAGCAGGTTTAGTTATAGTTTGAGTTGTCAAATGTCCTACCTTCTAACCATTAATAGTACTTGAACAGCCAGCTGAGCTGGTTTTAAATTGGTTGAGAATGAAGTCTGAGTGCAGGATGAGCTGCAGGTGATCAGCACTAAACAACGTTGATTGGAATGTGCTGATCACATAATTTTCATGGAAATCGAAACACTTTTTCCATTTTTAGTTTTCTGAGTTCTGCGTGTTTAACCCTCTGGGGTCCGTGGACGCGTATCCGCGTTTTTGAACAGGTCTGATTTGGGACGCTGTAGCAGCAAGACTCCGCCTCCCTGAGTTTCGGTTTCAGTTCAGCTTTAAAAAGGAGATTATAAACTACACCCCAGTTTTAAAATTTTGTTAATAGGCAACGTAAAAGCGGAGTTATGCTAAACTAAAAAACGACCTATTTTTAGACAATCTGATAACCAGCAGTTTAGTAATCCGTGAGAGGGAATGTGCTTGTGAACATAAACCCACAAAAACATGAGATCCTTTTGCTGTTGGTGGAAGTCTCACATATTCAGTTGATTAAAAGCATCATCATGTAGCTGAGAGAGAGAGGAAGGCCGCACGGGCAACCAGATGTGCGCAAAAAGGAGCCGCTTGGCGGAAAGTAGTGGCGCGAGCGGAGTAATAACAAACAATAAGACAGATATTAACGGTAAACTTCATACTTTGAAGCGATCTGGACAGATTTATTGTCTCTGCAGTTTAGTAGGCTTTTATTAGGCTTTAATAAAGGATGATGAGAAGGATAAATGTCCACCAGGCAGTTCAGATAGTACAGCTGTTTTTGAACTGGAATCAGAGGAAGTGGGCGGAGACTCGCAGCCAGAGTCTGAGGCAAACCGCGAGGATGTTGATGACGATGTGGCAGATCCATCCATCCTCATAGAAGAGTTGGGTCATGATGAGGTAGAGGATGAAGGCAGAGATCCAGCTCCTCGGAGATCCAACAAGAGGAGTGGGCGGCGCCGTGCAGCTGTCAGATCTCGGCGTGAGACAGAGCCACTCCCCACTCCAAAATGCATGTACATTATTGCCAAATTAATAAAATAGGTATAAATTCCGATAGTCCAGGTAGTCCTGAATAAAATGATACCCCATAAGGCAATATTTATTGTTTTTATTAGAAAATACAAAAGAGAAACCAAAATGAGTCAAAAACGGACCCCAGAGGGCTAATAATTTATTTTTTTCATTTGTTATTTGCTATATTTAGTCATATTTTTTTTATAAATTTACAGTCTAGATTACCATTCTAAATTATAAAAAACATTCGTCATAAATGTTTGTTGGTTTCACAGTAAAATAAACAACTTTTTTCCAATTCGGATTTTGTGTTTTTGAGTGATTTAAGGTCTAATTAATATGCAACCCCTTTATGTCCAAATATAAAAAATAAGTATAAATTCATAAAGTCCAGGTTGTGCTGAAAAGATTGATACCATGTAAGGCAGTGGTTCTGGCTTTTATTTTGGAAATACAAAGGAAAACTCTAAATTAGTCAAAAACGGCAAATTACACCCTGGACCCCAGAGGGTTAATGTAGAGGAGGGCTGGACCCCCCCCCCCGTACGGGGCTGCACCTTTCCTTCCAGATTTTCCTTTGATGTTTTCATGATCCTGAAGAGCACCTGGGACACCCACAGAAAATATCTGCAGCATTCCCACTGTTGCGCTCACTCCCACCTGCCTGAAGCTCATGGCACCAGTTTCTACATTTACAACAACTCCCTGGCAGAAAGATTAGTGCGTACAGTATAAACAGTGTGATAAACACGTGGAGACCCTTGATTTTGGCCGAGATTTTCTCTTCCGTATTTATTCTCTTGGTGAATCCTGTCCCGGAGTTCCGTGAATTTCCAGTGAAGGTGAGGTGGTGAGTTGGATTGTCCCTCTTCTCAGCATTTCGGCAGCCTGTCATGTTGCAGTGCTTCCCCGCTGCGTGACGGCGGCCTCTCAGGCCTGTTTACAGGCTCTGAGCAGCTCACTGGCCTATTGTCAGACTGTTCATTCAGTTTTCTGCAGCGCCAGCACTGGACACGTTCCCAGAATTCCTTTCTCCCTCTCCCTCTTTAACTGCTGTGTGACGTTCCAGTGTGTGTTTACAAAGGGGCCGGTGATAATAGGGTGGAATTATCTGACAACTGTGGGAGTTTTCCTCTGTTGCTTCTGCTTGGTGGATTCGCTCGACCAGTGACGCAGCACACACATGACAGCTTTTTTTGTGGCAGGTTTTCTATCTTCTGCACATTGCTCAGGATGTCTGTTGCATGAAAAGGAGGTTAAATCTAAAGCAAATGATCCCATGGAGCAGATTGTATATGGGGAAAGGGGTTGTTGCATAGATCAGATGTCACAAATGCAAAGATCACCTGTAATTTTAGCTAGGAGAATCTGTACCTCATTACAGTAGAGATAGATTTTGATACTAAAAACCAGATATTTGTGGTTTTCAAGACTGAATTTAGTTTGAAAACTCAGGTCAGACGCTTCCAAGACACGTCCAGTGTTATCTCGAGATCTCGTTCCGTAGGAAAGAAGGCGGTAACACTGCTGCCACCCTGCTGTCAGAGTTAGAATTACAGCACGTTTAGTTCTTGGAACCTGTAAGAGAATCTGGTGGTTTGGTCTCACTGTTCTAGATCAGTGGTTCCCAACCTTTTTCCCAAGGGATCCGTTTTTTACCAGTAAAATTTTTGACGACCCCCTCCCATTCTCTCTTCCAGTACAAACATTATTAAGAAATGATAAAATTGTTCAAACACATTTTAATATGCTTTGATGCAATAGATAACAGTAATAGTAGGCTCCAGTACAGAACAAAGTCATTAACCAAAGCAAACAGAGCATAATGTGCTTGACAGTTTGTATTACTTTTCTGAACACATTGTTTCTTGTAAACACTGATGAATCAATCATTCCTTTCAATAAACGTTTGACACATAAAAAATACACTGAGCAAAATGTACTTAAATGTGTATATTACTGGTTATACTAGATTATTTACTGTAAAGGCTGTGATTAATCCACCAGTCCTATCTTTAATGAACTTTTGACACTTGAAAATAAAACCGTGAGCTGAGCAAAATGTTCTTAAAAGTGTGTTACTCTTTCTGTACTAATTATTTCCTGTCTTAATATCAGTAAACTTTTCACTCATGAAAAAAATTGTGAGCACAATGTAGGCTATAAACAAGTAATAAATGAAGTTTTAACCCCTTAAAGTGGAGAGGTCCTGGCGACCCACTGAGAGGCTTTGGCGCCCCCTTGTGGGGGTCGGGACCCCCAGGTTAGGAACCACTGTTCTAGATGAGGTACATGGAAGCAGGGCGTTAGCAATGCTAGTAGTTAGCTTTTGGAGCTTGTTAGGGTGATAGAACTGGTTTGTTTATCAAATATAAAGGGACAGTCAAACGTTGCACAGGGTTGTTTAACAGAGCATACACTGAACGAAGTTAGAGGCCCAAGAAAGCTAACAAGGTGACTTCTGCTTATTTTTATTGAGATAAATACAATTTCAAATCATTCAGTCATGTAAAGTGTCTAATGTAACAGATATGTGGCCTTAGAAAGAGGATGCCCTACAGATGGTTTTAAAGTCAGATGCAGGACAAGTTGTCTGTCGTAGAGCTCTCCCTGCTGATTTCTAATGCCCAGCCAAGACACTTTCTTTAGTGCCCCCTACTCTGACCACCAGCATGGTGTTTTGTATTTCTGTCTGAGTGCTTTTGTGTTCTCCTTGTGTCCAAAAACGCCTTAAATGCATCTTGTATGTTTTGCACTTACACCTTTTCATGTTGTTTGTATTTGCTACAAACCTCAGACTCAACTGGATGGGAGGACCCAGCCTTTCCGTTGTTTCAGCTCTCTTGTTGGACTCTTGTTTCCTATCGATCAGGCAGCTGCTGCAGCTCAAAGTGCATGCTAGATAGATGGATGGATGAATTTTATTAATCCCAGGCTGGGAAGTTGCAGTTGCTAATTGGCATGCAAGGTTTCTGCCAAGGTTTTGTTTTGGCAGGATAAAAAAAATCACTAACTAGAACCAATTGAGTTCTGTTTCTCAAAGCTGGAAATGAAACTTTTAATTAAATGATTTTCTGAGTCTGGAATAGTTTTGACCCATATAAAACCGTGAGGTGGACATTATTTAGCATGTTTTGAATTTTCCAAGTTTTGTTCAAAATCAGACTTGTTTCCTTAGGTACTATAACTACTAGTAGCCTGGCAAGCCATCCTATATATATATATATATATATATATATATATATAGTCAGACCATGACCCCTGAAACATCTCAGTCTTTGATCGGAACATGTGCTTGTCTTTTAGACTGTCTCTGCACACACTTGGGCAGCGCTAGGACCAATCAGAGCATCACAGGGTATCCGCGGGTCCTTAAAAAGTCTTAAAAAGCCTTAAATTTGCTTTTCCAAATTTAAGGCCTTAAAAATCCTTAAAAATTACAAATAATCCTTAAAAACAGTTTCCAAAGGTCTTAAATTACCAAAGACCCAATAAACAAGATTCTTTTATTTCTGTAAAATTTTCGTGAATTTCTAGTTAGTGTTCAGCATTTTTTGTGTATGATGTAAGCGGAACCGTACACATTCAGTTGGTTGTGAAAGGGGGCTATTTTTAGTTGAGCACATTAGCTGGTTAAGCTAGTGGGAGCTTGTGCCATGGGGAAGTGCAAGTTTAATGGTAATTGGATGGCTAATCCCACGTTCACGACGTGGTTAGCACCGGTTCCAGGCAATAGCTGGAAATTATAGCTTAAATTTAATTTTAAAAATAGCTTAAATTTGGTCAAAGTGGCCTTAAAAAAGGTCTTAAAAAGTCTTAAATTGGGCACCCTTAAACCTGCAGATACCCTGGCATCAAACAAAGTGACCCATTTGTCACTACAGAAATGAGTCAATGGGGCAGTTCACCGTACACCACTGAATAAATGTAGGAGCAAATACATCCTTATTCAATATAAGGTACTTCAGTACCTACTGTATGTGTACTCGTGTCTCAAAGAAAAGCCCAAGTCTAAATTGTTCAGAGTAAATGCCAAAGGATGCTACGATCCGATCATGTGATCAGATCAGGTCCTTATCACGGGATATTCAAAGGATTGGAATCGGGTATAGAGCATAGAGCGCTGTGATTGGCTACACACACAACTTGTACGGCCATTGGTTGACCTGCCAATGCTACAATGGAGTGTGGCTAGACCGACCAGCAGAGGAAAATCTTTAGCTACTGGTGGTCTAGAGTTCTCCGTACCTGCCTGTTTCCCTGAGATCCACCTATCTGGTTTCTGTATTGAAACATCCCTAATCAATTTTATGAATTAATCCTAATTTCTCATCTGAAATGTTTTATTCCTAAATTCATCCATGTCTTTTCCACACAACTATCGGCCTGTTGCTGTAAAATCACACAGTCCTTGAAAGTCGGTGAGAGACTGCTGCTGGACCAAACGAGCACCTTTGAGGACTTCATCACATGTTTGTGTCTTCTGCTGATTCACGTTTTAACACGTTCTTCCTTTTCTGTTTGATCTGCAGCTTGTGGAAACCTCTCTCAAAGGTGAGATCTCCTTTGACCCTTGCTGTGCCTACTACTTGTGGTTTGTCACGGACTTTTGTGATGGAGGGGACATGAACGCATACCTGCTGTCCCGAAAGCCCAGCCGGAAGACCAACACCAGCTTCATGCTGCAGCTGGGCAGTGCCCTGGCCTTCCTGCACCGAAACCAGATCATACACCGCGACCTCAAACCAGACAACATCCTCATCTCGCAGGCGTGCACGCCTGCCGGCTCATGCGAACCCACTCTCAAGGTGGCCGACTTTGGTCTGAGCAAGGTTTGCTCCACCTCAGGGCTCAACCCAGAGGAGCCAGCCAGCGTCAACAAGTGCTTCCTGTCCACGGCGTGTGGAACAGACTTCTACATGGCTCCAGAAGTCTGGGAAGGCCATTATACAGCCAAGGCTGACATTTTTGCCCTGGGGGTGATCATTTGGGCCATGGTGGAACGCATCACCTTTGTAGATGTGGAGACTCAGAAGGAGCTGCTGGGGAGCTACGTGCAGCAGGGCTCAGAGATTGTACCGCTAGGGGAGGCTCTGTTAGAAAACCCAAAGATGGAGCTGCTGATCCCTGCCAGGAAAAAGAGCATGAACAGCCACATGAAGCAGCTGATCAGGGAGATGCTGTCGGCCAACCCTCAGGAACGGCCCGACGCCTTTGAACTGGAACTCCGATTGGTCCGTATCGCTTGCAGAGAGCTGGACTGGGACACGTGATGGACGGGCAAAGCGGACCATGAACTTGAGCCATCCAGCACATCTCGTCTGCTGTTGACCTTCGATACTGTGGCGTTGTGGTTTGTAACTAGGAAGGAATAGTTAGAATAGACTTTTATGTCCTAAGCACACTCGGTCTTCTACTAGCTGTGTCTTTGCAATGAAAGAGAGAGGTGTGATACCCACAGCTGCTGCTGCTGCTGCTGCTCCGAACTGCAGCTTCGTCTCAGGCCGTTCACATCACAGCATCACTTCCTCCTCACACGGAAGAACCAAACTACCCCAAACACCAGTCAGAAGGAACCAGTCACTTGTCTTCAATACCATCATCAACTCGGTGCTAATTGTGACGAAATGCAATACGAGACATTTCCCTGTGATTTATTTTGCTTCTTCCAGTGTTTGTTCAGGATTCAAAGGGCCCATGAAACCCCAGACACCTCAGCTGCTGGATTATGTTTGAAAAATGTTTACAGCCTGGCAGAATGCCGTCACCACCACCAGCGTTCTTACTGTTTCTAATAGTGGCATCGTGATTTGAGCCTAGTTTGGCATCGGATGCATTTTTACCCTGAATGCTCAGGTAATGAAAACAAACAGCATGATGGTATTTGTAGACAAACGTCAGATCTTTGGTGCTTAGTGATTCCTGCTTCGCTTTCTATCAGCTGCTGCTTTGCTTCAATGGGTGGAGACCTTTCGTCCTTATCAGCAAGAACCCAGCCCGCGGACACTTGGGCTACATTTTCTGTTCTTACGTTAAAACTCAAGATGAGTTGACTGGTCCTGGGTGAACACCCCCCCCCCCCAAACCCCACCCCCACCAGTTGACAAGAATGTATGACAATCAAGAGCAGTTGCTTTTATTTCAATCCAGCTTTAAACACTTTACTGAGGAGAGCTGAGAAGATCCAGTAGTCATTTTCAGTGTCGCATTTTTTCTTACTGGCGTCGCCAAACTCCGTTCAGACATCAGACGGGATCCTGCTGCACCACTTAAGCATCATCACCACACGGTGGTCAGTCATTTCTGATTAACGTTTTTTATTTAGTACTTTTCTAAAAAACTCCTGAACAAAGTCTACTTGTCACGAATCTCAAAAGACCGATGGTAACTTATTCTTAGAGCAGTTAACTTTTGTTCCCTTTTTAGGCAGCTGGACTTTTAGTTTAAATCTGAGCACTTAAATCAAGTTTCTTATCCCTGAATGAGATTTTTTCAGATTTTAAGATGGCGTGCTAGGGTGACCCAGAACAAAAATCTGTTTTGACAATAAAGTTTATAAGTCGTGAAAAAGTCGACGTTGAGCCTAAATATGATTTCCATCGAAAAACAAAATGTACTTGGAGTTAAAAAGTGAAAGGCCTGTGCAACTGAAATATGGTGACCGAATATTTCAAAACAAGTTTTAATCGGAACAAATTCTAGCTTCTCACGTATCTGGAGGTAGATGTTCTAAGACTTGGTGTGAAGGACGTTCCACGTGCTCTGCTGCAACAGGAACAAACTCATGTTTTTTTAGTTTCCTGGCAGACGTTTACTCAGAATCTTCAATCTAAAAGCACTAAGAAACAGACCAAGTACTTCATTCTTAGAAATCATATGTAGACGTTTGAGTTGTCTGAGAGGGCCTAAAATGCCATCGTGTGATTGATAGTTGCTTAGATTTAATAAGAAATAATTGTAGGTTTGCCGTTTTTGTCCAAACATTTAAACATGCTGAGATTTACTTTCAAATCACTAAAATACAACAAACATCATTCCGACTTTAGTTTTACTGAAATGGATGCTCCAGATGGGTTTCTGGTGCTCATTGATGAGCAGTGAGGAATCTTATGGTTTTCTCACTTTTAGTTAAAACTCCTTATTTTCCCTAAACATTGTTAGCTTCTATGTAGAATTGTAGATTGGCTGAAGAAGGAATCTCTACATCTTTTGTTTAAAAAAAGACTTCCTGTATGGTTTTTGTTTTCTCCGTCTACCTTCTGATGGATTGGCTGTGTTCCATGAAGCTTCCTATAAGACCTCTCTAGTAGATCTAACTTCATTTGATGGGCTTTGGCCGCCGGCGTGCCGTTGATTTCATTAAAAGTTATGTTTTGAACCATGAAAGGCAGTAGAAGTGATCAGAGTAATCCTTGAACTATGGGTAAAACATGCAACAGCTAATCGTACCACCCTTTAGCTTCAGAACCCGTTTAATGATGTGAAACAGAGACTGCTTGTGTTTAAGGGCAGTGGCATGAATATTTCCATGCTCAAACCTGAATGTGTACGAGGATGTCAGTGGAAGCACTTTTATTCAGTCGTTTTTATTTATTCTTCCTAACTACCTAGTGCATTACGTGGCGGAGCTGTGAGGCTGGCTCGGGTGCGATAAAGGTGTTTGTATTTGTTTACCCGGCGGAGCACAATGCTGGTCTCTAGTCCTGCTTATGCATGCAGCAGCTCTCACCTTCAGGGAAGAGAAGACGTCTGCACACAGCCTCCTTCACGAGCCACAGGTTCTCCGCTCTCCTTTTTCTTAATGCTGTTGTTTGACTCAATCTCATCACCGTGTTACGGCTCGACGTTTCCTCTGGCGACAAATTTTACAGTAATCCATTTCGACAAGCCTCTCACGAGCTAATTCTAAGCCTATTAAGTTGTTGCAGAACTTGACTGAGGATCACGTCAGGACTGCTTTTTTTTCCTTTTAGTGTATTCTTCCTTCAACTTGTTACAAAACCCCAGAAAAGCCAGGCACCCATGGCTTCTTTGCTGCTCTCAAATGAAACGGAAAATTCAATTTTCCTCAATTTGTTGCCCATTTTAATGTGCAGGATGGCCTTTCTTCCTTCGTTCAGCTGCAACAGCTTAACTCCATGCCCCGATGCGACTTAGATTTGCTTTCACTTTTCCTCTTTAGACACGAGAGTGGCCTCACGGATGTTGCAGTGAAACAGAATTGGCAGAAATAGTTAGAGATGCGTTTTTGCAGTATTCCACGATAATGTTGGGGCTTTTCACGAGCAGTGAAGTTCAAAGTCTGTAGATCACCAGTGTTTCCAAGAGGATCATGGGTAGTGTGATTTCAGACCAGATTTTTGCCTTCTAGAAAATAAAATGAGAGGAAGGTAGCTGGCTTCCTGTGAGGTTTGAGCTGTTTGCCAAACACGTCTGGGGATTTCCACCTTCTGATTTGTTTCTTTTGCACATATGTAAATAATGTAAAGGATCAACAGGTGTCAAATAAAGCTGATGTACAGATGAACTCCATGTGCTCTGTTTTCAAGAGAATCACATTGTTTGACTAATGAGTTGCTGTAATTCCTTTTCTCATCTTTTTTTCTGTATCAGTTTTGGAAAGATGTAATTTTAGAGTCCAGCTGCACCAGGACCGTCTCTTAAAGTCGATCCAACTGTGGGACGGAGGCCTTTTGAGCATCTTTTCCATTAGGGGGTCCAACACGGGTCAGAGGGTTTGGTTTAGGTTAACAACTAGCACCGTGCCATTCATGGCCCCCCTTCAGTTGTAGGTAGGGATGTCCCGATACAACTGTTTCACTTCCAGTACAATAACCGATAATACAGCCTTCAGTATGTACCGATACCGATGACGGTCTGATACGATATCGGCACAAATCATACACACTTATCTATTTCGTAGTGTGGAATGTATGAAAGGCTTGACCAAGTGATATTATTCAATTGGAGAGCAAGAGCCAGTAACATTAACTAACCATTGGTTGCAAAAATGTGAACCTTAATGGACTGCTTGTATCGGAGATTTTCGATGCAGTCAGATAGGTTGCAGGTTCGATCCTGGCTCCTACCAGAGAATTCTGCTGTTGTGTCCTTGGGCAAGACAATCCCCCTTACCTTCTGGTGGTGGTCTGAGGGACCAGTGGCGCCAATACTCTGCAGCATCGCCTCTGTCCGTGTGCCCCAGGGCAGTTGTGGCTACATCGTAGCTCATCCCCACCAGCATGTGAATGGGTGAATGGCTAATTGTGTCGTGAAGCACCTTGGGGGGGTTGTAGAACCCTAAGAAGGCACTATACAAACACAAGCCATTTACCATTTTCATAATCCGATAGTGTTTTTCGGCCGATATCAAATTACTTCCGATATCGATATTGGAACGGGACATCCCCAGTTGTAGGTCCATATTACAATGGTGTGGTATGGCTAGGGTGGAGTGGAGTGGTGGGCATTACACACTGATTGGGGAAAATAAAAATGTCTTTCTTGCAACATAAACACCAGCATGCTTTTTTTATTTATTTTTTTGCTATCGTTATTCGTACATGGACGTAGCAAGCAAGAGTCCAACTAGCGATTGAAATGCCTTCCTGAAATCAACAGACACCAGACCCCTCAATGGAACTGAAGCTCATAAAGATCTGATGTCAAGAAGGACCACAAAGAAGCCATTTCCCTCCAAGAATACCATCAGTGACAGATTGATATTTTGCTAAAGGTCCATGGATTGGACTGCTGGGGACTAGGGGATGGTTCTCCTTTCTGATTGTCCAGAGCTTCTCAGTCAGTCCTGTGTTTCGCCAGGACTAATTTGAAATTAAGAATTGTGGTCGATCAAGTTTGGTGGTCAAAAAAGCCAAACGCCAACTAATTCTGGTAAACTCAAAGCACAGATGATGATGAAGAATCGGGATTTGCCAGGGTGAACTGCAGAGGTCTTGAAAAAAGGACCAGCCCTGCAACTATTGACTCTGTATCAATTAAGTTGAAAAGTTTTTGACACTCGTGAAATATTTGTAAATCTTCATTAGTAACTATAGAAATGTCAAAGATCTAGGAACACTGAAGCTACCCAGGAAATCAACACTTGTGAACTTAGAGCTGATCCAGGACCAGTTCATTAAAGTTAACCACTGAGAGGTTTTTCATCATTCAGGCTGTGTGATGGGGGTTGTCCACCTCTGAAATAAAAAGCTAATTGATGTGAAATTAAGAAAAACAGCATTGTTCTAAATTACTTAGAAAAACCTCAGCACAGTACCACTCTGCCACCAACCAACCATCTTTGTCACCATGCAGCCTTATGAAGGGCCATTAGAGTTTTACAGCTACAGTCAGGAGTGTTTTTATCCGGCGGCACCATCTAGAGGCTGACAAATGTATTTCAACTGAAGTTGTTCACATCTCTTCCATAGTTATGACCAGAAGCAACACCTCTATACGAGAAAGGGCACCAGCTCTATATCTGTTCCTTTTACTTGAGCCTGTGAGAACAAAATGCATTTGCAAGTTACAAAACTATAACTTTTGGTTTTCTGTCTATATGCTTTTCTTTTTGGGACTCTTAGTTTTTCCTAAAGTTGAAATATTAGCGGCCGGCTGTTTGCCCATCTCTGGTGTTATTGAGCGGAGAACTTCTCACACCAGTGGTGTTCTGGTGCAAAATGCGTAAGTGCGTAATGAATGGAGGACACAGGGGAGTGCGGTGATTTGGTGAGGTCGACAACCAGATGGCCCTATAGTTAGTTTCAGACTAAGCCATATTATTGGTGGAGGTTTTGAGACAAATGCAAGAGAACCACTTCATTCCTTTTTTTGTTTCCTTGTTATATAATTTTTTTATCTCCACAATATAGTTGTACTATGTTAGAATGTCGTCATGGCATGAAAAAAAAGTTTTAAGCTAGCTAATTTAGCATATTTGCTTTAAAGGAAGACACTACAAATAATATTTTATGTTAAAAAAACTTTTGAACTTTGAATGCATAAACCTAAAAGCTTCGCCCCCCTGGTGGATCCTCACACCACACTATGGCCACCTTAACAATATTCACGATCTGCCACTGCATGGAAAATTATTCTGTTAATAACTTTAAAAAAAAGAAAAAAGTTTATGAGTAATCTTTTTGGTCCATATGGAGAATCCAAAGTGCTGGGAGGAGAGGGTGTCAAATGACACCCTTCATTCCAGTTGGTGGCAGTAATGCTTTAAATGTTGCTTGCCAGCTGCCATAACATAAGGAGAAGAAGAAGACAGCTAATTGACTTTGATTCGGCCAACCTGTTGGATAATCTGCTGGTTATCTCTGAGGTTCTGCTGGATTTCTCTGGTGTCCTGGCTGATGTTTGATGCTGCATGTTCATCGAAAAACAGCTGAAGTGGGCTCTGTGTGGCCATGTACAGTCAAGGTATGAACATCTCTGGAGCATCTTTTTAAAATCTGGTACAAAAAAAAAAGTTCTTCCACTGACAGGCCAGCCTCGTGTCAGGCCCAAGAGCCGTGGATCAGATGAATCAAAGGTGAGCCCATCTCGTCTGAACGTTTCCCAGATGAAGTTAAAGGTGTTACTTTAAAGAAATAATTTCATTCTTTGCCAATTTTGACACAGAAATCCCACCTTGAGATTTTGCCGTGCACTGTGTCTCAGCTGCTGTCTGCTTCTCAAGTCACCAGTGATTGCTTTGCTATCAGAGACCGGGAACTCCACCAGGTTTGTTTTCAGAGTGTATTTATCACCAAGAGTTTTAATCACCTCAGTTCGACAGCTAAAGCACATGACATGCACAACTTTACATTTCTGTTTTTAAAACCCAAATATAACTGAAGTCTAAACCCTAGCAGCAATGGGAGTGTTGCATAAACCATCTGAGCTCTGGAGGAATCAAATCTGACATTCTGCACAGCTCATGGCCAACTTTTAACTGCTGTGGAGCAACTTTGTGACATTCTCAATCAGCCTCTGTTTCGTCAGCATGGATCCAGCTCTGCAGACAGATTCCCCCACCGGTTTCTCCCAGCCATTAGTACCGCATATTGCTGTGCCTCTTACTGCAAACATGTTGATGCTGAGCAGGCAGAAATTTAGAGAACTTTTCTGTAACTTTAAATTAAAGATGTGGTGGCTTCCACAAGTGAGTCAGTTCATGCATGAAATATATTTGAACGCCCCCTTGTTATTGATCGGCTCATTACTATGGTGTCCTATAGGACTTCTTCAGGTTTGATAAAACGATCGCTATAACGTCGGCTAATTGGCGTGTGGTATGTTTTGTGTCCGTTTTGGTCTACTTTCTCAGTGCTTAGTTAGTGCTGCTATAGTTTTGAAGGTATTACAAGTTTTATTTCTGAGCAACAGCATCACCATCCATCAACGGTTTTCAGTGTTGGGCAAGTTACTTCAAAACTGTAATGCATTATTTATTACTTGTTACCCTCATTTTAAAGTAATTCATTACATGACAATATTACTGATTTTAAAATGTAAGGCATTACACTACTTTTGCATTACTCTAACCCCCAAATTCCACTACCTCCGGTCCGCCCCCGCCCTCCGCAGCCGCTTGCTTCCGAACTCAATTTTTACTGGTACCCGCTCTACAACGGCTCCGCTCCGGTGCGGAGACCTGAGGTGGGCAAACAAGCATGCGCAGGATTTTCGAGATCTTGCGATACAGTCTGAGTTATAAACGCGGAAGTTAGATCCAAACACCCGTTGTGTGGGAGAAGCATCGAAATGAACTGTTTAATCTGCCCATCATTTGTGTTGAGAGATCAGCAGTGTTTGGATCAACAAAGTGTGACTACTTTGATAGTGGAAACTGTATTTATGGCTTACTCTGTCATGTTCCTGGGAAGGTGTTTAACCCACGACATGAAGAACCATCACAGGACAAAGGCAGAAAGTTCAAACAATGATTTATTAACCCTAACTAAAAGTGTCCTGGAGATATCCAAGTGTGAAGTAGTCGGCAAGAGTCCAAAAGCCAGCAGGGAGGGCAAACGGTGTGACGGGGTTCGTCCAGGAGAGGGAGCCAGATGATGGCGGCAGAGGGCAAGTGAAGCTGGAGGAGAGGTGAACCTTGAGTGTGTAATCCAGGCGGGTTATGGTGACTTCCAGGTAGGTACATCCATCTGTGGTTCAGCGATTCCAAGTATCCTGAAGATGAAACAGACTTGAGTCCAAACACCAAAAAATCCAAGCACAAAAAACCAGATAAATCCAAAAACTGTGACAGCACAAATGTCTGAGCAGAGACCAAGTAAAACCTAGTACTGAGTGGCAAGATTCTACCGTGAGTAGTTAATCATCCAGCGATGTGAAGTGGTTCCCTCTCCTCTTAAATAGAGCTCTGCTGCGGTTGATTAGAGGATCTGCAGCTGCCGCTGATCGGTAATGCCCCACAGCTGGTGAGTGCCCTCTCCTGGAATGACAGTCTTACAAAGATGTTGTGGAGAAGAGGGAGTACTCACCCCGTCACACAACATACTTTTGTGCATTTAAAGTTCAGCCGCCATTGATAGTTGTTAAAAGTTGTTAAACCTGTGCATATGAAACAAAACGCTTTTTGTTTATCGATTTATTGTGAAATAACGGAAGTTGTGCTTGCTCCCTTTCCTGTTGGGCGGTTGTGATTCCTGTCCATTGACTGCGGAGGTGCTCCGGCGTCCGGCAAAAATAGGATCGATACTATTTTTGCAGGACGCCGGAACAGAGCGGCGCACTGCGCCGCACGGCCGCAGTAGTGGAATGGCTCTGATTGACTACAACGGGACCGATTTTGCTGCGGAGTTCGTGCCGGAGCGGAGGTAGTGGAATTTGGGGGTAAGTTACTTTCACCAAAACAACTTCAATATGAATCTGGTAATGTGACGCTCAGTGAACTCATGACACAAATGTGGAAGGTGATGTGGTGTCTGAGCTAGGATTGCTGTTAAAAACAGTCAGATATAATAACAGTGCTTTAAAATGATTGTTTATTAAATAAAAGCAACAACAATCTGTACTCTCAGCACGCTGCCATCTTATATTAACTGAGCAGGGGTGAGGTGGTGGGGGCTCCAAGCCCATATTTGCCTTTGTCCCCAAATGCCTTGATACGGCCCTGGATGTGGGACTGACTTTTGAGGGTGATCTGATTCTGTCTCATAAATGTGTGTTGGGGATAATTCTACCTACTTTTTTCTTTTCAAGCACTTTGTATTGTTCTCTTGATTTTATGTGAATAATTTCCTGCCCTTTCTCTCTCTTACCTTCCTGCATGCTGCATGTTTTCTCCGTCTTCCGGAAAAACTGTTTCCTAGATTATCTACTTTCTGCCCAATCAGCCAAAGGAATCTACCGAAGGCACACAAAAAAAAAAAAGCTTAATATGAGCTGCACTCCAGCAGCAATGAGTTGAAATCACTGGGGCACAGATTATGAACTCAGCTGAAAAGTACATGAAGTACCAGAGAATATGGGCTGATATAAACGATCGCAAACAAATGACTTTGTTTTGGTGGAGCGGTTTTGTGAATATAACAGCGGCCGCGCGCCGGACGCTGCTGGAGTATTTGAGCCGTTACCGCTGCGCCCTCTCTGCTCACAGAATGCCTGCAAAGCCGAGTCCATAAGTGATGTAATATATGTGGATACTGGATCTTTTTTCAGGCTTTCCACAATTTGAATTTTTAGGAAACCCACATCTTGATTCTGGGTTTAAAAATGCTTTGTAATTACCGCGTTACTGACACTTGTACCAAGTAAATATTACCATCCTCTTTCCCTGTAATGCCTTACATTACCACATTACAGTAAAAAGCAATGCATTACAGTAATTAATTACTTTTGCACCGCGTTACTCCCAACACTGACCGTGTTGACAAAATGTAGTGAGCCCAGACATGTGCGGTCTGCACATTATCCAGTATAGAGCTCCGGGAGTTGACGTCACGTTTCCCGGCATGCAACAGTTCAAATCGAAACGGCGCCATTCGGCAGGCAGAAGCCGGCAGCTGGACTGTTATTGTCAGAAAACTTAATCAAACGGGAAATATGGTAGATTCCTGTTGTGCCCCAGGATGCAGAACAGACGCGGACGACACAAGGAATGAGCCATCTACAGGATTCCCTAAGATCCGGAGCGCTGCACACGTTGGATCATTGTAATAAAACGCACTAGTGACCGGGCTGAAATGAAGCTGTGGGATCCCGAGAGTAAAGGTTTTCGCTTATGCAGCGACCACTTCATATCAGGTACTTAAACCAACGTTTCCTCAACTGTGTGTGGTGTTTATTTTAAATGCTTTTATTACGATTCTTAGTGGGCTTCCTAAACTTATTTTGGCGTGGCTTTTTCTGTCTTATTACTCATAGCAGCAAGTAAACATCATGTAAAACGTTGCCTCGTGAGTTCTGCGTGCTGCCGTTAACCGGCTAAGCTGTATTTAATTTTTAAGCAATGTTTGATCAATTGTCAGATCACACATAAAAAGCACTTTGGATTGCTATTATCTGTCTCACCGAGACAGCTCTCAGACAAATCCTGAGACGCTCCTGCCTGACATATTTATTTTATTCATGGAAAAAAATCAGACTAGTGATTTCTCTTGGTGTTCAGTTTATACATTCAAACAGCACAGCACTCTATTTAAACTACTTACATGTAAATCTGTTATTTGTCCATCCATCCATTTTCATCCGCTTTTCCGGAGTCGGGTTGCGGGGGCTGTAGCGTCGAGAGGCCCAGACTTCCTTCTCCCCAGCCGCCGGAGCCAGCTCCTCCGGGTAAATCCCAAGGGGTTCCCCGGCCAGGTCCAGTAAGAAGTCCGCTCCGACAGCTTCTGGCGTCGGAGCGGGCAGTAGCGTCGAGAGTCCCAGACCTCTCCTCAGCTCCTCCGGCCGGGGGAATCCCAAGGGGTTCCCCGGCGGTGTTGTGCCATAAATCGACTCGCTGCCAAAAAATGATTAGCTTAGTTTTTTCAAGTTCGGAAGTTGTTTTAAGTGTTGCTATTTGTCTTAAACGTTCACAATGAGGATATATTAATCCTTTTTGCAATATTTGGGATTGAAAGATGGTTTGTGGTAAGAACTGGCTTTCTTTATGTTACAGCCTTGATACTAAAAAATAAATAAACAATGTAAAATGGCACCCTGTATTGAATGTAAACGTTGTATAAATGGAAATAAACAACTCTCCAGTGATTTGATTTTTTCCCCTTTGATTTTTTCCCCCTTCCTTTCTTGAGTGGCTAATAATTTTTTGGCAGCGAGTCGATTTATGGCACAACACCGGTAAGAAGTCCGCTCCGACAGCTTCTGGCGTTTTTAAAAAGTATCCCAGGGACACGGTAAGGGTCGGAGATGTTTAGTCTATTTAATTTCTGACTATATAAAACGATTTCTTCGTTTTTAAAGTGTGAAGTAAACTCCGACGAAGTAAAATCCAAGCGGATCCCGTTCACGTTCATGGTTTGTTTACCTTTTTTTTCCTGCCAAAATGGCGTCTACTAACTAAGAGTCACGTGGGGTCCGGAGCTCTATTGACAAGGATCTGGATCTCTCCACCTTCAGTCACCTGTGGTCTCTGGTTTAGCAGTCAGGAGGAAGAGGGACTCGGAGTGTGTGAGGCGGTCTACAGCATAGGCCTGATGCCCCATTAGGTGCTGGAGAGCGTAACAGCATTGCCACCATATTGGTTGGGTTCCCCCACTCCTTAAACCCAGCTGGAGTCAAAGCAGAGTGTGCAACTGTGCCTATTTATAGTGCAGCCAACGGTTGCAACAACTGGCACACAATTGAAAACTGATCACATGGGATTACTATTGACTTTTTTTAGCCTACCTGTTGGGATTTTATATAAATGTTTTATATTTTTATGTCTGCCTTTGTGATGAAGCATAACATGTGTTTTAGTTGGGTAAGCACCTTCCTCAGCAGAAATAAATGCACTGGGGGTGAGTGGGGGCGTATCTAAGATGGAAGCTCACTGTTGCACCAGCTCCAGTAGGCAGCACCAGTCCACCAAGTGTCTACATATATGATATCTGTAGTCTACAGTGCTATCAAACGACAGCTTTTCACTCTCACTATTTTTGCAGCTTTGACTTCAAAGCTTTTAAGTCCTCTAGGGCCCCTTTGTGGCCTGGGGGCCGGAAGTGATTGCATTCGTTGAGTGTTATGTGGAATCTGCTCCAACCCAAGTTTTAGAATGAATGAAGCTTCTTGAATGAGAGGGGAACTGTCTTAAACATAAACAGAAGTCCAGTTGATTTCATTTAAAACTCAAGATCGTCACTTCCTGGATGGCCAAGAATCTACACCAGCTCTCGGGTAAATCAGAATTCTGGACCGGGTAAGATTGTGCCCCCTGTTATTTTTAGAATGGTATGATAACATACTTAAAGCTAACTGGCTGAATTAAGAATTTTTGTGAACACAATTTTTTTTACTAAATTGAAGTAACTTCCTTTTGTAAATGCAGCGTTACACTAATTGTGTAGATTGAGACATGTATTTTGGGGCTTCCTGTAGATTATGCAGGCCAGAATAAATCTTTTGATGAATACTATTTGTTTTTTTTATTCATTTACTAGGTGTCCTGAAATCCACCAATATGCCATTTTATTGCAGTTCTCCTCACTTCAAAAGTGACCATACTACAGGGTGACACTTTCCACCCCAGGTACAGGGTGACACTTTCCACCCCAGGTGCCACTGTTTGGACAGAGCTGAGTCAGCTGCTACAACACAAAGGTGTCTGCAAAGGCCCTGTACACGTTTGTGAAGTTGGACCCATATGGTCAGCTTTAGATATCTGTGATCGGGGAAGTAGTACAAGCATGGATTTTTAACTCGAGTTGCATTTCTCCCATGGGAAAATACTGCCATGCTTTTCAGCTTGAAGTACTTTTTAAGGAATGGGTTGATTTCTTCTTGTAAAAAGTTGAGTGCAAAGACAATTTTTCTCCATCTCAAGAGAAGTGAATACAGAAATTTGAAGTCAGGCACTTTAAACTCGCATCATAAATGATCTGATTTGGGAGATTAAACACATTCGTGTTTGTATTCCAAAGAGCAATGGTCAAGCTGTTTCTAATTATGTAAAGATAAAAGTCCGGAGTGGCCTGCCTGTAGCCCAATGCTGCATCAGAAGGATGTGTCCCTTCACATGGTCTTTCCAAATAATTCATGTCTCGAAACTTGGGTGAGCTCATTGCAAAAGAGCTGTGTGGAGATCCGCAAAGGCATCACATCTGAAGGATATTGGACTTTGCGAGACAAGCAACTTTTTTTCTTCTACCATTTTTGTCCTGCTGGCTTCTGGTATGGCTCAGCTTGACAGTGATGTGGACGCAGGACTCATTCTCCCTCAGTTTCTCTGCCTTGGGCCAATCTGGAATGTGTCCCTCATAATTCAAAATGGTAGATGGCACATTAGGAAAGTGCTTTGTGCAGGCATCGTACTTCACAGCTACGGCATTGGAGAAATCGCATGGATTGATGACGATCTCGCAAATTATACAGACGTTTTTGAGTGAATTTCCCTCCACTGAGGTTGCCAAAGGAAAGACATACACTTTGATGGCTGTCGTGTCTGGAGAAGCTTGACAATAGATGGTCTGTGGCATTGCACTGAATACTGCAGGTCAGCTCCATATGTGTGGGAGCTGTAAGATGACGTGGGGTGTCAGCAGCATCAGACAAGACTGATACAACCACAGTAGAGTGAACGATGTTGGGCTATAAATGGACCCATTGGAATTTGGGGAGGGAGAGAGGCCAGAGACCCAATAATCAAAGGCAAACATTGTGATGCCATGTCTGTTCCATAGTCTTTGTTTCACTCTTTTTAGTCTTTTGTATTTTTGATTTGCAAACACAAGTGACTGATGGTGAGATCCAAACCCTGTGACAGTGAAAATGTGACTTGACACAAAGCTTAATTTGGGGTATATTTATTTTTTTGAGTTATCTAGTCCTGGTTTGTATGTATTTTAGTTTTATTGGTACCAGTTCTAGTGTGATCCAAAAGAAAACAATTAGTTGAAGTTTCACAAATGAAATCAAGGTTTATATTTATCCTCATACAAAAATGTTAATCCATTTAGCTGGGATTACCATTTAGCACATTTCTAGAGTTAAACTCCAGAGTAAAAGATGAAAAGTTAAAAATGTATCTATTCTATCTGATGCTTTGTCATTTTAGGGTCAAACATCTCTAACAGCAAGGCTCTGCTTTCTAGAGACCCAAGGACGTCTTCAAATGGGCACTTTACAATTAATTCTGTTAACTTGAAATAGATATTTCTTGCAGTGGCTGCATCGTTTCTTTCAATTTAGACATTAGAACTAGGTCTTAGTCATTAGCAAAATGAAAGGTTTTAAAATCTTAAACTGAGAACGCAAGCGAGCTCGCTGTCCGGCAGTAAAGCTGTAAAACGTTTTCTCACCTTTAAACATTTTAAATGCTGACTTCCATGGGTAAGTGTTGGTTTCATGACATTTTTGCCATGTCTTTACTATATTAAACAATTCTGTTAAAAGGACATTTTTATTGGTCTATTTCACCAATAAGTGTTTGCCCAGAGCTCGTCTTGTTTCAGGTTTCAGTCGTGGGGATCGTCCGAGGAATTGTTCCAGATTTAAGCAACGTTCAACTCTTTGTAGATGACGTGACGGGCCCTCCTCTAAATGTGAAGCTGTGGATCAACATGGAGGCCAGTGGTGTTATTACTCAAATATAGCAAACACATCTAGGTTGTTGCAAAATGATCACTTATGTGTTTTTCCAGGACCGCTCTTTGATGAGCTCTGCTCCTCCAGGAACCTACGTGAAGGTGATAGGAAGTCTACGTAACTCCGACGTAAGAAAAACTAAATAAAATAAAGACATAATGGAGTCCAATGAAATGTTATGAAGATGTGTGATGCTAGCATTTTCGCCCTTCATAGGGTCAAAGGTCATTACTGGCGATGAGTGTTCGCTGCATCAAAGACCTGAACGAAATCACATCTCACATGTTAGAAGTGGTACAAGTTCACATGCAGCTCTTTGGAAAGGTAACTGGTGTAATCGTTTCAGACTACAGGACTGATGGTTCAATTTATGGCTATGGGAAGAAAAAAGTCTCAAAAGATCTGTGTGAGTGTGTATCTAGATTTGTGTATCTAGATTTGTGCGTGCCTAACTAAAGATTTGTGTGTGTGTGTGTGTGTGTGTGTAACTCTTGATTTGTAACTTGCTTACATTTTTGTGTGTAACTTCAGCTCCTACACATACAAATTATTGAACACACACACACACACACACACACACACACACACACACACACACACACACACACACACACACACACACACACACACAAATCACCTGGTACACATTAACAAAACTACATTACACACAAATCAATTTACAAGTACAAAATCCTTTTGAGACTGTTTTCTCACCTGACTGATTTGTGCGTACGTGGTGCGTTTGAATGCTGGGTGGAAGCTGAGAAATTTGAGTTTCCTTTGTAATTAGTCTAAATTTGTGTTGACGGGACAAATATGTTTTTCTGTGGAAAAATATACTATCTCGGGATCCTGCAGTTTCAAAATATAGATCTACATTTAATTTTCAATCATCTAAAATTGTTTTAGATATATATGCATTTATGAGCCATGCAAACGTAGTCAAAGGTTTAAAAGAAATTATTAATAAATGGCAGAGTGATTCTGACTGGAAAAAGCAGGCTTCAATCCAGGAGAAGGCACAAGATGGTGCAACATCCTGGTGGCTTTCCCTCTGAAGTAAGTAAAAGTAAATCTAGCATGCTTTGCAGTCAGTTTATGAGACCGCTATTATTTTAGACCATTTAAGATATTTTATAGGTCTGAAAGATTGACACACTGTCCCCAGACAAGGGCCAGTTTGTGTGTTCACAATAATATGTAAACTGCCCCAATGTTATTGTGCACACCATTGACATATAAATATTGGACAATGGGTTTCCATAGGCTCCAATAACACGTTTTTGAAGAAAAATGGAAGGTGGCCACCACCGCCATTTTGACCATGTCACAGGTTCCGTCAAGCCCAGGCAATTCCACAAAAGGGAAGAGAGGTGAAGCTGAGGGTGGGGCTGTAAGGCTGGGATCAACTGACGACACCCGGTCGAACTAGTGTAAACGTGCGAGCTGTAATGGCTCGGCTCGTAGTCTCAGGACCAAAAGAAGAGAAAGAAGAGGCGAAATGTCTTTGGAGTACGGGAACACGTCTCCGTTTATTTATTACCGAACCGGTTAGCTCAACTCCCTGCGCGCGAATGACCCACGGGAGAGAGAGACTGGTGACTCCACCCTTCAGTCCAGGAGTTCAAAGTTCGCCGCACATGCGCACAACACATCACCCGCTTACAGTCGTCCCCCCTTCACAAAAGAAATGACCCCATTTCTGAACAACATCGTGAACAAACAGTGTAGAAAAAAAATAAAAGTATCAAATACAACATGGTGCTACCCGTACAAAACAAAAGAAAATACAAACTCCAAACCATTACCCCATCACAAAATCAGCAAAACGTGCTGGTGGTTTGGCACACCGCCCAGCACGAGAAACCTGTACTGGAGTACCCATAGGAAAAGAGGACCCCTCCAAACTAAGGCCGGAACTAACACCAAACTCAGGTGGGGGAATCGAGGTCCCTGAATCATAACCATCTGGTGACAGAGCAAGGCCTGGAGGCCCGAGAGATGGTAAACACACAGATGGAGCCCGGGACGGGCCAGTCAGTGGAAAGGTCACAGGAAGGCAGTAGCGCCGTAGTCGGTCATAGTGTACAGTTTGGATGGGAGCCTCATCTCCAAATGGGCTACTGATCACATAGGTAACCCCAACCACGTTGTCCCTGTCCAGTCTAGTGGGCAAAAGAGCAGCCAAATTGGCGGTGTAACTCCGTCTTCCCGCCCCTCGGGTTTGGGCGCGAACCGCAGCCTCAAACTGTTTAATCCACGTAGCGAATAGTTTACGCCCGTCGCCACAAAATGGCGCGGGCAGCTCCACTCTGATGTTACACACATCCTCAGTCCAACCTGCACCAAGCTTGTCCTCGTCCAAACCGGTACAAGAGCCTCCGAACATTGTCCTGCGGTCCTGCGTAGCCTTCTCACGAGCCACGTCCCGGGGGTGAACGTCGCCAAACACCGCTGCCACCAATGTAAACGTGCGAGCTGTAATGGCTCGGCTCGTAGTCTCAGGACCAAAAGAAGAGAAAGAAGAGGCGAAATGTCTTTGGAGTACGGGAACACGTCTCCGTTTATTTATTACCGAACCGGTTAGCTCAACTCCCTGCGCGCGAATGACCCACGGGAGAGAGAGACTGGTGACTCCACCCTTCAGTCCAGGAGTTCAAAGTTCGCCGCACATGCGCACAACACATCACCCGCTTACACTAGCTACAAGCTAACCTGAAGCTAACCCAAAGCTAATGCGGAGGTGGGAGCTAAGCTAACGGAGGTAGCAACCTAGCTACAACTGGAGTTAACTGTGCACAACACCAGAGCTTCTGAGTCAGAGATACGCCGGGCTGACCGCTGGGTAAAACCGGGTGGAACACAGAGGTCTCCCGAAAGCTGCTGAAAGCCGTCAGCCCGCGCAGCAGACAGAAGCCGCGATCAGACAGAGATGCGCCGAGCTGCGGGGAGGGGAGAACGGGTGGAAAACATTGGTTTCCCTCCACAAGCCGATAGTGGGAACCCAGCTCCACCAACATGTTATATTTCAACCCATTTTCTAAAGTGCAGCATTATGTTAAATGCACTGGGTTTTACCCTATTATGTTAAAATCTAAGCTCAGCTCGGCAGTGACCTAAAATACATAAATATAATTTTACTTACAGAAAAAAAATGAAGTGGAGACTCCTTGGATGCTCTATTAGTGCAATTAATGCCACAGCAAGTCATTTTGTCCAACAATTGCACAAATAATACCCCCCCCCCAAAAAAAAAAAACCGCACAAATGCTACAACTAATGGTCTAAGTTGAGAGACTGAAAATAATCGAACAGTTCAGACTGAGGCCTTTCCACGGAGCTAGCTCTGTGGTCACGTGGGTCTGATGCTCATTATTTATACAGAATTTTAGACTTTTAATACACTTAAACAGAAGAGTGAGAAAAAATTTCACCCCCCCCTCAGAGTTGTCATGAGTGTAAACTAGATCATTTAAACCAAAAACATGTTTTGGTACCAGGCTGTAAACATGTTTATTTCTGCTGTGAAATTAGTATTTTTAACATGGGAGTCAATGAGGATTTGCTCGCTTCTGACACCAGCCCCTAGTGGATGAGGGTGGAACTGCAATTTATTTCATTTCCGCCTTTGCTTCAATTTTTCACCCGTATTGTTGGGGCTTGGTGCACACACATAAACTGGCCCGAGAAGCGTTTCCTTGTCTGGTGAATGCTGGGAGTTGTGGTCTGACTTGTTCAGTGAATTTTTTTGTCCATCATAGTTTGTGATGCATTCAAAACCACACCAACTACACAGGCAAGTCAATAGAGTTGTGCATTGAAGTTTCTAAATTATTTAAAACCATTTGTATTAGGTGGATTTTAAAGAGGTTGTAAGCTAACCTAGCAAAACCACAATGCTAAGCAGCATTTTTGCCCTTGATGTAATCTGAACAAATTAAAATGCCAGTGTGGCGATGCAACTAAATCATTCATTCTATTCATTTGACAGAGCACAAACACTATTCTGTATTCCTACTTATGTTCACAACAGCCTGTAATGGCTAACATAGCTTAGCTCACACAGATGTTAGCGCCTGCTAACACAGAAATGGGAACAGTGTATCAATCTGTCAGCCCTATAAAACGTCTGAAATTGTCTCATTGAAACCAGACTGCAAAGTGTGCAGGTTTAACTTTTACTTCAGAGGAAAGATCACCATAGGGAGCCTAACTCTCCTCCCTTTCCAGTCAGCTCATGAGTCCCAGAAGAATGAAAACATTTATGTAAGTCAACGAGGCTAAAAGCGCTATTTTCTAATCGCTTTGCCTTACGCCCTGGACCGTACACATGATGTACTGCAATTTGAATGAAAACTAATGATGGGTGTTTTGACCACGCCTGTCATGTACTTTAAGATTTATCAGCTTGTAAAAGTTCTTAATTAGCCTGACTACATCAGCACGTCACCACAGAATCTCCTATCCCCTAGCGGAGCTGCTACTTACCAAATGACCAGATTTATGGTGTTTCTTTCCTCCTGAAGGAAGGATTTGAGGTTCGCTGAACTAACAGCCATTTTCCCTCTGTTTTTCTCTGTTTCTGGTTCTATGACATCATTTTAGTTACGCACACACAAATTCACACACACACATACATACACATACATACATACATACATACATACATACATACATACATACATACATACATACATACATACACACACACACACACACACACACACACACACACACACAGATCTTTTGAGACTTTTTTCTGCCCATATGGCTGCCTTAACCTCAACATGCACACATCAGAGCTAGAGGGGTGATCTTTCTTGGGTATCATATTGGCAACAACATTTTTAAGTCAGAACTTTTAAATAACTTGTAGAAATCTGAGTACCAGAACAAGGTTGTAGGACATATATGGGTTGGGCTTGCATAGAGGTGGGAATCGAAAACCAATTATTGTTAAGTGGTTTCCATTGTTTCAATTCCCTAGGAATTGTTAACCATTTTTGCAAACAATTGCCTTATCAATTCCTGGGTGAATATGACATCACCATGCACATTGTGTAAATTGCACAAGCTACGTTGCGTAGTTTACGCATTTACTCAGCAGGAAACATAGCCCGCAAACTCTCAAGTTTGGTCTTGTTTGCGTCACTTGCTTTTATGTACACACACCTCCACACTAGCAGACTCCAGCATCAAAAATCTGACCTGTGGTGAGAGTCTTGAGTCTTCCAATTTTGCTAAAGCTATAGCACCACTACACTGTACAAAAAGACGACTCTGCCTTCACAAGGAGGAGAACATTTGGAAAGGTCTTTCCAAATGATACCAGGTACAATTGATTATCATTAACAAACTGACAGTAATAATGCACAAGACTGTGCAATTACATTTTGCCAGCTATTGATTTATTCGGGAACTCATTTGAAAGAATCGACAAGTTCATTAATATTGATAAAAATCAGTTCCCACCCCTAGCCTTACAGTTTGGACTAATGGGTTTCATTACATGACCAGCAGGTTAATGGTTTTCTTTTTCTTTCTTTTTCCTAATTTAGGATTTTGACATGAACATGAACACTACTGCATTCTTACAACCATATGGAAGCAACAAGCCAATGGGTTTGTCCACAATCCAGAGCCAGGTTGGTGGTTTAAGGGGCCGTTTCACCCAACTTATCTGTGTTCCCACTTCAAATGATCCATCATTCATTCATAAGCAAAGTTTATTAATTATTGGATCAGTACATAGTTGCATGCCTTATCTTAATGATTTTGTGGCTTTTATTAAGTTGATTCTGTCTATATTCCTGCTGAAGCCATTGATCTGACCGACCATAAACTATTGATGACGTGATTTCGAAAGATCCGAAATCAGATGGAAAAGATCGGATTTAAACAAATAAAACAATAATTACTAAAATTCCTCCTGAGATGGATTTTCCAACAGGATATTCGTGGCTTAGTTTACTTTTAACAAGTTCCACCGTATCAATATTCATAGTTTCTTGGACAAAAACCCTAACATCACACAATTAATGTCCAATGGAAATTCAAACACCAAAACATGTAAAAACAAGCCTCGATCTCGGCCTTTCCCTTCAGCTGTTGCTGCAGCAAATCGGTCTCCATAAAGTCGTTTTCCATTACCAATCCTCCTAGTTCACTGACTACAAACACAGAGCCAGCTGACACTAAAAGATACGTTAAACAATGAAATTGCAGACGAACAGCAAAAAGTTGGGTTCCTCAGTCTGTGGTAGCTATAGGTGTTGAGCAGAGAAAAGTGAGCCTGCTAGCTGTGGTGCCACATGCCTGCCCCATTCCGGGAATGCGTCACTCAAAGCCGCGAATTGGAGAAGTAAACCATTAGAAATATGAGCAACGAGGCTGCTTCTAAACATATCCATTAACAGTTTTTTTATCAATATACTTCCGGAGCGAATTGTTTTTTAGCAATTTAACTTAGAAAATAACAAATACAGTAAAAGAAATACAAAAATTATAATTTAAAAAGCTTACAGGACAACTTAGGTGTGTTTTCCTATTTAATTTCATTAATACTGAATCTGATCAGGACTGTGTAGCAATAAATATAGATTCATATCTATTTCAAATGTTGTGAAGACTTAGCTTGTCTTCGTCATTTAAAATTTTATATTAAATAACTCGGGGCACCACCCAGTTTTGTGTGGGTGAACTGGGACACTGGATTTAATATTTTCATATTCTCAATGTAATCGGTCTCAAAGTTAACACCACATTGTAATCTTAAAGCTGAATTCTTGTCAGAATGCGCCGGCTCTTCTCGAGATCGCTAGGCAATGATCAGGCAGGGTATAAGTTTTGTGAATTTATTACAAACATCAGTTGTGACACTTGACAAAGAGAACCAAACACAGCTTATTGTTTCATGCATGAGAATAATTAAGTGGATAAACACAAGGCTTTATGGCAGTGCTATGACATAACTAGTCTGTAATAAAAGTGGAAATTTGGTGACACATAGGATTATAGTAAATATTAGGAATAACTGCTGTAAGAACAAGTGTGCGTGTGTGTGTGTGTGTGTGTGTGTGTGTGTGTGTGTGTGTGTGTGTGTGTGTGTGTGTGTGTGTGTGTGTGTGTGTGTGTGTGTGTGTGTGTGTGTGTGTGTGTGTGTGTGTGTGTGTGTGTGTGTGTGTGTGTGTGTGTGTGTGTGTGTGTGTGTGTGTGTGTGTGTGTGTGTGTGTGTGTGTGTGTGTGTGTGTGTGTGTGTGTGCATTCCTATGGGTATAGGAATACAGGAGGGTGTGTGTGTGGGTGGATAAGGATTCGTGTGCGGCAGAGAAAGAAGATGAATCTTGAGAGATAAACGGGAATTTGGTTCGAAGATAACAAGCCATAAAAGTTTAAGTCTGAACTCACTAATTGGGCTTAGCAGGAAAAGTCAGCCAGATAAAAATGCTTCACAGACCTTTTCTCCGTTGCCAAAGAGGTGTCCTGTGGGCTGGTTCAGCCAGTCCAGAAGCTTGAATGTGGCCTTCAGGGGCCATAGGACTTTTTGGCACCTCAGCTCAGGTCAACAGGCATCTGTGGATTGGAGAATGATGCGTCCCTCCACCGTGGCTGACTTTAAGGTCCTCAACTCAGCTGCACCGAAACGTGGAATTCAGAGCGCGAGTCCAGATTCACAAACGGTGCCGAATCAGAACTGTTCCTAATTGCTTTCAACTCTTAATGCGCAAACTTCTTGAACGTGACAACTTCCAGTTGTGTGTGGGACGTCAAAACAAAACAAACGAAGTTGCCTCTGTCCTGCCGAAACTTTTGAGAGCTAATGGCTTGGTTTCTTTAGAGCGTAGGTTTCTTGCTTGGCCAAGATGGAAAAGCCAAGCAGAGGTTTGCTTAAGGCATCTGTGGTTCTTAAACTGCCGCCACGAGGTTCGGATGGGTGCTTATATAACCTTTTGGGCATGCCCACCTGTATCTCACTCAAAAACCACTGGAGGGCACTGTGGCTCTTCCAAATAAACTCTACCTTCTCCAAGATGGAAAGTCCATGATCACAGTGTAGCAGTTGTTCATATAAAGCCTCAAAAAGCATTACTTTAGCATCAAAGTATTACTTTAAACAAGAAAGAATAAAATGCATGTCTTAAAACTGGACAGTTTTACCATTAGCATGAATTTTAACTGGAGAAACACCAAATGAGAGAGGTTTAACATAAAAGAAAACACAAAAACAAACAGTTTAGGTTTGTGGCGGATAAGATTATAATTTAGAGCACCTTGATTTCTATTTTAAGGGTAAACAACCTAAACACCTTATCTGATTGTAGAAAAACAGGAATGCAAGGTTTATAAAGACTCAGGTCTTGAAGCTCCCAGGAGGACCTAAAAGAAATTTTACGACTTCCCCTATCTTGAGAAAAGGGTCAGTCTGAGGTTGATGTAAAACAGCCCAGTCTTCTGATATCACTTGCGCCTCCTGATTGGCGCAGAAGGGAGGCCAGTCAAATTGGTGCAATTCACGGTCCTGGGAGAGAGTGGTAGGAGGTAATCAGAATGCTGAAACTGCGGGCCAGTTTCAAATTCCCCTTTTTTGTTTTCTTATGCTAAATGTGAGGGGAAAAACTTTGTGGAAATAGTTAGGTTCTCCTTTGTGTGAATGCAAACAAAGTTAATCTGAGGATATAAAATGTGGATTTCCGCTACAACTGTATATCGGCAGATACTCTAAATCAAATGACTCAGACTCTGACTGGGAGCAAGTAGAATGTAATTGGAACATCTCCAGCTATTTTGTTTAAACCTCTTTATAAAATGTTTAAAGGACACATTGGAGGGACTGTGTCTTTCGACTGGCCGGGGAATGCCTTGGGATTCCCCCAGAAGAGCTGGCCCTATTAGCTGGGGAGAGGGAAGTCTGGGCGTCTGCTTAAGCTGCTATCCCCACGACCCGACTCCAGATGAGTGGTTGAAAATGGATGGATGGATGGAAAATGTTTAAATCCAGTGAAATCTGTGTGAATGGAACAATTGTTAACTTTCCGTCAGGTGTTCAGTGTAATCCAGATGTTCTCAGTCCACACAGAGGGTATCAGTTTCCATGACCTGAGCAGTAAACTGGACTACCTCAGCTTGAAGGACATCAGGTGCTCTGATCTCTTGAAAATTTGCTCCACATCAGATTTTGACTTTACCCCTTTAACATGAGAAATTAAGGGATTTGTGATTTAATTGAACCCTAAATTAGGATTAAGGGATTTTAGGATAGCTCCACACTTGTGAATCATAATGTTTGACCATATAAATATATATTTTTCCCCAGAACTTCCATGGCTTTTCTCATCAATGAAGGTCATGTCTTCCACACGGTTGATGAGCAACATTTCAAGTCAGCATAGCATTCAGTTCAAGTGGAAACATAAAAATTAATATTGGGTATTAAAATGTGAAATGACGTAAAATAGTTCTTCTGAACTGCTGTTTGTTTTTTTACTGAAACAAAAGAAAGTACTTTTTGTTTAATATTTTTGATGCTCCGGTGTGTTGTCCCCTACTTTTGTTAAAGCTAAAATTCATCTATGGAGCTTGTTGTAACTTGTTCATTTTTCTGTGAATAAAGCAAAGTTTAAAACATTTCTTGAGCCTCCATGCTAGAGAGAGTCCCTGGTGAGAACTAGTTTCCATTGGACTCTCTCTGGCTGGTCTTTAATTTCCAGCCTTCAGTGCAAGCCAAATATTAATTGCTTAGCTCAACCCTCCAACACACACACACACACACACACACACACACACACACACACACACACACACACACACACACACACACACACACACACACACACACACACACACACACACACACACACACACACACACACACACACACTTTTCTCGATTTGATTTGTGACGGCTCAAGGCTGATTTTTGTCTGTTCTGGCTCTTTCAGTGAGCTTGTTTGTGTCTTTGATTCCATTGAGCAAAGGAAGCCGGTTAGTGCCACCTTAAGTTTCTTCCATAACAAAATGTTGAGTGTACATCCAGAGATGCATCTTGGTGTCTGATTAGTCAAAACATAAAATCCCACAAAGAAAATGTTGTACAGTGATTAAATGTTAACACTTTTAGCTTTAGTCACTCAGTCATTTGATGCTTTTCTGCTCAAAAGTTGAAGTTCCACAAAAAAAAATGGCTCACCCAGAAAGTTCATTTAGAATACTTTAGAGAAACCAGTGTTCCCAGTTTGAACCAGAGACGCATGTTTCAGTAAATCAGTGAGTAAAGCTGCTGCTGTTTGAACCAGCAGAGACAACCTTAGACTATTTCTGTCTGAAAAAGCTCTATAAATCACTTCACTGAGCAAATAACAGTAAAGGAGCCACATCAAGGAGCTTTTATAGAATGAAATATATCAGTCTGTGTGTAATGAATGAATCTAATATACTAGATTCACTTTTTGAATGGAATCACACACAAAAAATATAATTTTAGCACCTGTGTAGATATAAGAACATATTAAAAGTTTAAGGATAAACTTGTATAGAATAAAATGGATATGTTTGTTTATTATTAGATGTGTTCAAATATAATTTAGTTGAAATCTGATAAATGAATTAAATCAAATTTTCTTGAATACATCTGATCTTTCAGACTCTTTAAATCTTGTTTTGGACCTCTGGAGCTCGCTGTCAAACCACCGCCACGCTGTTTATGCCAGTAATGTTTGTTTCTGTGCAGACAAAAATTCTGCAACGTTCCAGGAAAAACATTCAAACTGAGAGTTACTGCAAAGTTAGTCCAGTTTAAAATGGAAACTGTGATCATTTGAGCCCAAATGAATCCCATCTCGTCTCGTCTTCTTCCACCTATCTGGGTGTGGGTCGCAGGGGCAGCATCCCAACTAGGTAGTTCCAGACTGCCCTTCCTCCGGCCACCTCCAGCAGCTCCTCCGGCAGGACCCCAAGGCGTTCCTGGGCCGGTTCGGAGATGTACTTTCTCCAACATGTACTTGGTTGACAAGGGGGCCTCCTGCCGGCAGGACTTGCCTGAAGTACCTCCCTGGGGAGGCGTCCAGGAGGCATCCTAACCAGATGCCCAAAACACCTTAACGGACTCCTCTCGATATGGATCCCTAAGGCTGAGCCCATCCACCCCACGGAGGAAACTCATTTCGGTCACTTGTATCCGCGATCTTGTTCTTTCGGTCATTACCCAAAGTTCAAGACCATAGGTGAGGACTGGGCGTTAGATGGACTGGTAAATCGAGAACCTTGCTTTTTGGCTCAGCTCCTTCTTCGCCACAACAGACCGGTTCAGCGTCCGCATCACTGCAGACGCTGCCCCAATCAGTCTGTCGATCTCCCGCTCCCTCCTTCCCTCACTCGTGAACAAGACCCTTGAAATCCTCCACTTGAGGCAGGACCTCTCTCCCGACCTGGAGTTGGCAAGCCGCCCTTTTCCGGTCCAGAACCATGGTCCCAGACTTGGAGGTGCTGAATCCTTGAATTTTAATTGAAACTTTGGGTCAAACTGAATATTTTGGGGGTTGATGTCATCCTTCTGTATCCTCATAGATATTTTTCCTTCCATTGGCTGAGTTCCTTTTTGTGGGAGCTGGATTTGGTCAGTCACTGATTTACTTTAAAAATAAGGAGAAAGTGTCACATGCCTGGAAAGCGGCTCTACCTGTAATAGACTGCAACAAGGCTGTGATCTGCAGGTGCGTAGTGACATCAAAAGAACCAAGAAGAAACGCTTGACAGTAGAATCTGTCCTTTTCTCTTCTGATCTCTATTTTTAAACTTTTGTTCTTAAGTCTTTTACGGCCACAGTCTCATATTCGTGAGCCGTTTAGAGTGATGGGACTGTGATTGATGGGACGTATTAGAATCTCTCCATCACTCGTGTGTAATAATGTATACGTCTCCTGGCTGTGAGATGATGTGGAGGAGGATTAGCCGGTCCCTGGAGAAATCTCCCACTAAGCCTGCGTCCTTTTCATGTATCCGCTTTTGTCTGAATGCTGCCAATGGTTCCGTCTACGGCACCACAAAAGCCCTTGAGAGTGCTAATTAAGTGACTTTTTTTCTTCTCTTTTAGCAAACTGATTTTTGATAGGTCATGCTAAACGTGCCATTTCCTTCCCGTGTGGATGGAGATGTTCTCTGAAGATGCTGAGCACCAATCTCCTTTCTGAGTCCTGCCTGGTTTGTGACAGCTCCTGTTTGAAGCAAAGCACATCTTTTTTCTTTGGAGGGGTGATGCTGTTGTTAAAGATTTACTGTTTTATTTCTTTCGACTTCGAGCCGAACCCTCGCTCCCTGTACAGCCACCGGGTTTTGGCCCCCGCAGCATAATGAGGTGTGTTTGGAGCTGCTGCCGGACGAGGCTCCAGATGGCCTCTCAGGCTTTACATGCTGCCGTTTATCCACCAGAGGGCAACCTGTCTTCTAAAATCCTCTCTCCTCCTCATGCTAACCACACTCCTCCTGTACGCTTCACTTTTACAATGCCACATGCCACTGACTGCCTCTTTATGATCGAGAAAAGCCATTTTCCCCTCCTCTGCTGTCAGCTGTGCAACACAACCAGAGGGAACAATGCTTCGCAAAAACAACCTGAATTTACCCCTTTTAACAACAGAGAGCATCATCTGAGCTGTTCAGATGAAATAATTTGTATCTGTGAATAAAACAAACACTTTATTTTCCACCTTTAGGGGTCTCTATAGCTCCGCGCAGCGCCTGTTGTCTACCCAGCGCTAATAAATGGCAGCTCGTTAATCAAATCTGCATGAGTGCGCTCAGGTTGCCATGGCAATAATTATCAGAGCTGCCTAATTAACTTTCTCAATTGCTTAATGATATACGACCCTCTGAACTTGGTTGGGCTTTTTCTCTCTCTCTAATTCAAGTTGTTTTTATTCTTTCCTTTGCCTTCCCCAAAGTTAACTCCTGAATAATACTCTACACTGGAATTAAATTCAACACCACATCACTTCCTGTCTGCCCACGCCCTCTCTCCCATTCAGGAGCTGGAAGCGACGGGTTTATGAATGCCAAAGCATGCAGCCTCCGTGTGTGTGTGTGTGTGTGTGTGTGTGTGTGACCCGAATGCTTTGTCTTTTGTTGTGACCTCGCGTGACAGCTGACTGAAGGCTGGGAGCAGCGCTCCTGTCGTCCCTGATCAGCCAGGCGAAACTCTCCGAGACGCGAGGGAGAATACCTGGTGACTCCCACCCTGCCTCTCATCCTGTCGGCCGCTGTTCTGTTCAGCCTCCTGTCAGCAGTACACCCCTTCACCCTGGCCAGTCCACACCGGTCCAACTTCTTCTCTGAATAGGTTTCATACATTTTTATGACAGTGGAACCGTTTCCCAGACTTCTGTCCAAGGTGAACCCACTTCTTCACTAGTTTAGATCCCAACATCCTTTAATCCCAGCCAGCGTTTTGATGGATGGACACGAGGCGTTTAGGTGGTCGTGAGCCAGCGAGCCCTAAAGTGCTTCATAAACCTCAAAAGTCAGAAGAAGATGGCCTTGCAGTAATTTAAATTTTCATCCTAAATTTAAAACATCCCTCAGAAAATCTCATCGTCCACTTCAGCTGTCTTCTGCACAGATGCATAGTCGCTCTGTTCTTTGGCTCAAAGTTCAATAAAATCCCAGGTATTTTTAGAAGGACTCGGCTTTACTGAATAACAGAGTTGGCTCAAACCCCTAGCTGGTGGAGCAGTAAAACTATCATTTTTAAATAGTTTAAATTCTGAGCCAATTTCTAACAAAACGCCACCTCGAGGCTCGGTGTGAGAGGAGCCATTATTTACCTCTGAGCGAGTGATTAGCAGCGGTTCCTCTGGTCAGAAGAGCCATCCTGCTGGAGAATGTGTGTAACAACTGCCCAGCTTTAAGCCTGTTCCCACTCCTGGAACCTTCAGGTGTTATTACTGGACCTTTGAGGCGTGCACGCATCTCCATTTCATCAGGTTTGCTCAAAAGAACTACGGTATTTCCCAGGTCATTTCAGGAACCAATCATGTACCTGAACTGGGTAATGTATGCGCAATGGCCTGGAAGAGTCACTGAATTGGACTTGTTAAATCATTCTGATTGGTTGTGAAACAATAGGAAAGGAAATCAGCCAATAAACGACCTGCATTTGTAAAAGTTGGAAGCCCACTGGAAGGAAAAGATGAGCTACACTTCTTCTGGTCTTTGAACGTTGCTTTTTAGATCACATCCACTCTCCTTGTAGCCAGAATGGATTATATTACGGAACAAAACCTTTTGATTTTGAGTCCCGCAGCTGCCTTTTGGCATTGATCAGTAACTTCACTTACTGCCAAGTTGTTTGTAATTTGCTGTGAGAGAAACCATTTTTATATATCTTTTAAATACGATTGGTCACTTTGAGATTAACATGTGATCTAACTGTGAACATAGTCTCCTACCCCTATTTCCTGGATTACCAATAAATAAACACATGAAACATTTGGACTACTAAACCCACTCAGATCTACTTCACACTGAAATTTAGCATTCAAGAGCTCACGGTTGCGACTGAAAAGACTGTTGTTCGTTCAGCTGCAAGAGAAGCTAAACATTAGCATTAGCAACTCTGCCACACAGCAGATCTTCTCCAGGCTTGGGTTATTTGTGGAGATAAAATGTCAACGTTGCAGAGTTATCAGTCAGTGGTAGAGTCATGTTGCTGTCAGCCAGTCGGAGGCGAGATGTCCAAACATCAGTAAATAATAGGAAGGAAGGCTAAAGTTCCTGTCACCTTCTGCTCTGGCTCACTTCTTCCTGAAACAAGAGCGCCAGAGCTTTTTTCCCCCCACAGAGATCGCCTCACAGGCATTAATTTAAACTAGAGACCACGGCAAATGTACTCAA